ATGCTTTTATTCCTTCTAAAACAGCGAGACATTCCAGTTCCGTGACTGTCCATTTTCCTTCACTTTCATTTAAGGATCTACCACCATAGGAAATCACATGCTCATTCCCTTTGTCATTAAGCTGTCCTAGAATATAGCCTAAACTGGTCCCGCTTGCATCTGTGGTTAATATGAATGGTTTTGTTACATCTGGGTACACAAGTACAGGTGCAGATGTAAGGGCAATTTTGAGTTTATCAAAAGCATGTTGACATTTTTCATCCCAATTGAACTCCATCTCTTTCCTCAGCAACTGGTTAAGAGGTGCAGCAATTTGTGAAAACCCTTGAACAAATTTCCTGTAGTAGTTGGCAAGGCCAATGAACTGTCGTACCTCTTGTTGATTTCTTGGCGTTGGCATGCTCTTCACTGCTGCTATTTTGTTTTTGTCCACTTCAATGCCATCCTTACTGAAGACGTGACCCAGATAGGTAACTTTCTTTTCAGCAAACTTGCATTTACTCGGCTTTAGTGTAAGACCTGCCTGCCGGAGTTTCTGGAAAACCTGTTGAAGGTGCTTCAGATGTTCACCAAAATTCCTGGAATAGATGATTATGTCATCGACATATACTAGTGCATGTCTCCAGTTCATCTCTCTCAGAACGTCTGTCATCAACATTTGAAAGGACATGGGTGCATTGGTCAACCCAAAAGGCATTCGATTCCAGTGGACGACTCCCTCTGGTGTAATAAATGCTGACTTGTGTTTTGTGTCAGGGTCCATGGGTATTTGCCAAAATCCGCTGGCACAGTCCAAAACGGAGAAAATTCGAGCTTGAGATTCTCCAATAGTGTCCACCACATCTTCAAAACGAGGTAGAGGAAAGAATTCCGGCTTGGTGACACTGTTCAATTTTCTGAAATCTGCGGCAAATCGATATTCGCCCGTTTTCTTCTTGACCATGACGACAGGACTTCTCCAATCTGAGCGACTGGGCTCAATGATACCTGCATCAAGCATGTCCAGCACCTGTCTGGCACATTCCTTTCGAATTACTGGATTCTGTCTATAAAACGGGAGTCGAATGGGTTTTGCATCACCAGTGTCTATCTTGTGGTGGTACAAGCTGGTTTTGCCAAGTTCCTGCCAGTTTTCAGCAAAGACATCTCTGTTGTCTTGAAGAAAATTGTTTAGTTGGTCCTTTTGTTGAGGTGAAAGATCAGAAGAAGAAAGATCAAAGTCAATATTTTTGGCAGATTTACCTTGATTGGTGAGAGTTCTGGAGATAGACATAATGCCTATTTGCTCATCTGCCTCATGCAAAGTTTGAATGGAATTGATGTCCACTTCACTAACTGTAGCAAGAACTGTACAAGCTGATATGCTGATGTTGCTGTTAGTTGGGTTTAATAAACGAAATGTGGTTTTACCTTGGCGTCGTTGTACCAGGCACTTTGCACCTTGCAGATTGTGCGTCGTGAGATTTGGGGTGGGTTCCAGTAGGAGCACTGAGCCATCTATGTTCCGTGAAATTCTAACTGGAACGTCCATTTGTCCTCTGGGCGGTATGGTGAATGGTTTGTATGCACGAGCTAAACCTGCATTAGCTTGTACAAGTGAAACAAAGGTTAAACCATCATGAATAGAAACGGTTCGAGAGCCAAGGTCTACTGAAACTTTGTTCTGTTCGAGAAAGTCCATTCCTAAGATAAGGGAATGGTGCAACTTTGCAAAGACGTAAAAACAGTGTGAGAGTTTTAGATGACCTATTGAAAATGACAGGTGTATCGTGCCTAAAATGTGTTGTTTCTCGCCTCCAAATCCAACCACTTCATGAATGGGGGATTTGCCTAATTTTCCATCACCTAATCCTATTTTGTTCAGAAGTTTTTGACTAATACAGCTGATTGATGCGCCTGTGTCTATGAGTGCATTTGTTCTTTTGTCTGCAAAATGTACTAGAATGGTGTTCTTATGTAATGGTGCAATCAGGGATATGCTTTTTTGAGTATGCCTGACATTTGCACGTGACAAAGTGTCAGGCGAGAATCCCTACGCAGTGTGGGAGGGGTTGCTTTGGGGAGGGTTATGGGGATTTCTGCTTGTCATGACATTTGGCGTAATGAACTGAGCTTTTTTTGCTTTCCTACACATTCTAGTTGTATGGTTATTGACCATATTGCAATTCTGACATACTGAATGAAAACCTGCACAATTAAACCCATTACAATACTCACCACAATGGTAACATGGCGAATGAGAGTATGCCGCTCTGGCCGCTGCTCTGTTGCTCCTATACTGCTGAGGTGTCTCAGTCTGACGTCTTGGCTGGTACTGTCTGGCAGAGTCCTGAAAGGAATCCCGCATAATGTGTTGTGGCTGTTGTTGTCGATAAGGCTTGTAGTTTCTTGATGGACGTACTTGATATTCAGTCTGCTGGTACTGTGCTGGTTCCTGGATTTGTTGGAAGTGGTGACTTTGATAGCCTGGCATTGCATGAGGATGAGGTCTGAAGGGTCGTCTGTCCTGTTCATGCCTGGCCGTTGTCAATTGCTCCTGTGGTGGCTTTGGGGATGAAACGAGCATCACTTTCAGGACGTCCACGAGGTTGCTTATTTGCTCATCCTTAGCAGACATTGCGTTGACAGCTGCAGATTTCTTTCTGTTAGCCATAACTGACTCTGCCATTTTGCTTTTGGCTTCTAGATCATCCAGTGTATGGGGGTCGTGCATCAGCACGATCTCTTTGATGCTTGCTTGGAGTCCATCTATGATGAGGGTTACTACGTAAGTTTCGTCCATATTGATGTGTTGAAAGTAAGAATTTGCTCTTAGGAGATAGTCTTCTATACTTTCTTCCTCCTTTTGCACAGGGCGCAGATTGGAAGCATTGAACTTCCTCCTTGTGATATACTTATTTTTAAAGGCGGCAGATAAATGCTGAAATGTGTCTTTTTGGCCTTCTTCTAATTTTGTCAGCCACATCTGTGCGCCATCCTTCATACACAGCATAAAAGCAGCTCTCATTTTCTGCTCATTGTCCATGTCATTAAGCAGAGCCCACTGATCAAATCTATTGATCCAGGTTGTTGCACATTCTTGCTCCTTGCCATAAAATTCTGGCAGAGTCTGCAGCGCAAGTATAGTGGCCATCTTCTTACTGCGTTGGTTGTGCTGGTTGTGCTGCGTGTGTTGTAGATGTGCTTGTTCTTCTTGTTGTACTTGTAGATGTTCTTGTTCTTCTTGTACTTGTAGATGTTCTTGTTCTTGTTGTTGTATTTCTAGATGTTCTTGTTCGTCTTGTTGTACTTGTGGTTGTTCTGGTTGTGTTAGCTTGGTTTGTGGTCGTTCTTGTTCTTCTTGGACAGGCCCGAGTTTCCGAAGTTGATAAAAGTTCGTAGGCGTCGCTCCTCTAGACATGTAGTGTTTTTCGAGGTCGGGATCGAATCTGTTTCCACCAACTATAATCAAGGTTTTGACCCGTGTTTGGGAACTTGATTATACCCTTAATAAGAAGAAGAGGAACGATTACAGTCAAGCAGTTTACTGTCAGTGGTGTTGTGTTACAGAATTGGATACAATTGATAAACAGAAATACATGGCATATGGATTGACAATAATATGAATACATGAAATATATACAAACAACTTCGATATGAAATGTCAATATTTGTATTACTTAAGGGGAAGCTAGATAGATAGGGGATATAGCTGTAGGTAGAGCTAAGAACACGTTCATGTCTAGAGAGAGAGAGCATTCGACATGTAAGTGAAAATGAATACATATATGCTTGGTTTAATACCTCTAAACTATGATGCGTAATTCATTACATGATGATAGATATATACACAACATATACATACAAATTAAGGAATATACATATCTTAAAACACACAACGTATCGTGCATGATCATTCATAACAGAAATAGTTAATACGTATAACCCATATACAAACAAGGGATAATTACGCATAACAGTGCACGTGTCTAAGTGGGTTTATATTAGAAGGTGAGCAAGCAATAAAATCATAAACTGTTTAGATTATTCTATACATATATAAGACAACAATATCAAATAACAAGGCGTAAATGTTTCTTACCTTAATAAGAAGAAGAGGAACGATTACAGTCAAGCAGTTTACTGTCAGTGGTGTTGTGTACTGACCAGTGAAGATGCTCGGCTTTTATAGTAATCGCCCTCCTATGTTTTGACTTTGAGTGATACCTTACTGAATGAATTGCACATTGTCTTGAATGTTAATCGTGACCGATGATACGTCGCTGCTGTATTGTTACGTAACTATATCCTGTACGGCGATGCAACTGCGGCCGCCATACAGTAGACCGTCAGCGTGCGCGATGGCTTTGATGGATGTGTCCATCTTACGTCACTATAGCCTGCTATGTAGCTGTCAGTGTTCAATCTGCCACATACACGTGTACTGTTAGATGTGCTTGTAGATATATACTAATAGAAATGTTATGAATACTTCGATTCCATTTAGGTTTAGTTAATAATTATATCAGAGAACCTCAAATATTTATAGGCAATAATCGAAGTATAATGAGTGTATTTTACACTGGTATAATACTAAGGAAATCGTATGTGAAGATAAACTGATTCTTGATAAGAAGGCGAATTGCATATGTGACCATGTGTCAGTATCAATGTGGAGGACGTGAACAACAGCCTCGAAAGCAAAGTGACCAACGGTATCGAAAGTAAAGTGACCAAATGCGCGTTACCATTTGAGTGAATATTGTGACAACCGATGCGTAGCACCGGTGGGTTTAGCATAGTAACGCTGGACGAGGCTCCACTGGAAACTCCACTGGACGTGGCTCCATTGGGCATGGCTCCACTGGACGTGCCTCCATTGGGCATGATTCCACTGGGCATGGCTGCACCGGAAACCCTACTGGACGTGGCTCCAGTGGGCCACTGGACATGGCTCCACTAGGCATGGCTCCATTGGATATGGAGCCATATCCAGTGGAGCCATGCCTAGTGGAGCCATGTCAAATGGAAGCGCCACTGGACATGGCTCCACTGGATATGGCTCCACTGGACATGACTCCACTGGATATGGCTCCACTGGACATGGCTCCACTGGATATGGCTCCACTGGACATGGCTCCACTGGATATGGCTCCACTGGATGTGGCGCCAATCCACGTGGCTCCACTGGATGTGGCTCCACTGGACATGGCTCCACTGGACATGGCGCCACTGGACATGGCTCCACTGGAAGCGCCACTGGACATGGCTCCACTGGATATGGCGCCACTGGACATGGCTCCACTGGACGTGCCTCCATTGGGCATGATTCCACTGGACATGGCTCCACCGGAAACCCTACTGGACGTGGCTCCAGTGGGCATGGCTCCACTGGATATGGCGCCATTGGACATGGCTCCACTGGATATGGCTCCACTGGATATGGCTTCTCTGGACGTGGCTCCACTGGATATGGCCCCACTGGAAGCGCCACTGGACATGGCTCCACTGGATATGGCTCCACCGGACCTTCAAATTGGAGACACATTTGTTCAACCAGAAAGCCATGCTCGAAATCTATGTGTCATCTTTCACTCAACATTAAGCGTGGAAAATCACGATAGTAACATCTGCAAATCTGCATATTTCCACCTAAGGAATATCAGACAGATTAGCAGGTACATGGACACACCATCAGTAAAATGTCTAATCCATGCATTTGTGACATCACGTCTAGACTAGTGCAGCAGTCTACTCTATGGAATACAGCAGAAGTACATGGACAAGTTACAGCATGTTCAAAACACAGCTGCCAGGCTCATAACACGCACACATATGTATGTGCACATAACACCAGTCTCCTGAAGGACTTCCACTGGCTCCCTGTAAAAGACAAAGTTGTATTCAAACTTCTTGTGTTTGTTTACAAGTCCATTAATGGGCTTGCTTTATTCTATCTCCAGGAACTAGTCAACATTCACAAGCCTGGAAGGTCACACAGATCAGCTTATCAACAAAGCTTAGATGTTCCATCTGTCCGAACCACAACATACGGGGACAGAACATTTAGCAGAGCGGGTGCTGTACTCTGGAATGGATTACCTGAAAATGTCAGAAAATCAAAAAATATCAACAGTTTCCGATCTTGTCTCAAAACCATCCTCTTCAAACGAGCATTCGACTAAGCGCACATGATCAAGACTCTGCATATGTAGCGCTATACAAATGTCTTATTTGGTTTGATTTGATTTGACATGGTTCCACTGGACGTGGCTCCACTGGACATGGCTCCACTGGAAGCTCCACTGGAAACTCCACTGGACATGGCTTGGTTCGCCCAATAACGTGTCCGGTTCACTTAATGTGATGCAGCCGTTCGCTATTATGGGGAAAACCACGTAAATCTAGAAAATAATCAAAGCTAATCTGGGATTCGAACTAAGACCATACTCTTCGACCTACTGGCCTCTTGAGCTACATGACCATACTCTTCTAGCTACTGGCCTCTTGGGCTACATGACCATACTCTTCCAGCTACTGGCCTCTTAGGCTACAAGAACATTCTCTTCTAGCTACTGGCCTCTTGAGCTACATGACCATACTCTTCTAGCTACTGGCCTCTTAGGCTACAAGAACATTCTCTTCTAGCTACTGGCCTCTTGGGCTACATGAGCTACTGGCCTCTTAGGCTACAAGAACATTCTCTTCTAGCTACTGGCCTCTTGAGCTACATGACCATACTCTTCTAGCTACTGGCCTCTTAGGCTACAAGAACATTCTCTTCTAGCTACTGGCCTCTTGGGCTACATGACAATACTCTTCTAGCTACTGGCCTCTTGGGCTACATGACCATACTCTTCTAGCTACTGGCCTCTTGGGCTTCATGACCATACTCTTTCACCTACTGGCCTCTTTGGCTACATGACCATACTCTTCCAGCTACTGGCCCCTTAGGCTACAAGACCATTCTCTTCTAGCTACTGGCCTCTTGAGCTACATGACCATACTCTTCCAGCTACTGGCCTCTTGAGCTACAAGACCATACTCTTCTAGCAACTGGCCTCTTGAGCTACATGACCATACTCTTCCAGCTACTACTCTTGGGCTACATGACCATACTCTTCTAGCTACTGGCCTCTTGGGCTACAAGAACATACTCTTCTAGCTACTGGCCTCTTGGGCTACATGACCATACTCTTCTAGCTACTGGCCTCTTGGGCTTCATGACCATACTCTTCTAGCAACTGGCCTCTTGGGCTACATGACCATACTCTTCTAGCTACTGGCCTCTTGGGCTACATGACCATACTCTTCTAGCTACTGGCCTCTTGGGCTTCATGACCATACTCTTCTAGCAACTGGCCTCTTGGGCTACATGACCATACTCTTCTAGCTACTGGCCTCTTGGGCTACATGACCATACTCTTCTAGCTACTGGCCTCTTGGGCTACATGACCATACTCTTCCAGCTACTGGCCTCTTAGGCTACAAGAACATTCTCTTCTAGCTACTGGCCTCTTGAGCTTCATGACCATACTCTTCTAGCTACTGGCCTCTTAGGCTACAAGAACATTCTCTTCTAGCTACTGGCCTCTTGGGCTACATGACAATACTCTTCTAGCTATTGGGCTACAAGACCATACTCTTCCAGCTACTGGCCTCTTGGGCTTCATGACCATACTCTTCTAGCTACTTGCCTCTTGAGCTACATGACCATACTCTTCTAGCAACTGGCCTCTTGGGCTTCATGATCATACTCTTCTAGCTACTGGCCTCTTGGGCTACATGACCATACTCTTCTAGCTACTGGCCTCTTGAGCTACATTACCATACCCTTCTAGCAACTGGCATCTTGGGCTACATGACCATACTCTTCTAGCTACTGGCCTCTTGGGCTACATGACCATACTCTTCTAGCTACTGGCCTCTTGAGCTACATGACCATACTCTTCTAGCTACTGGCCTCTTGGGCTACATGACCATACTCTTCTAGCTACTGGCCTCTTGAGCTACATGACCATACTCTTCTAGCTACTGGCCTCTTGGGCTACATGACCATACTCTTCTAGCTACTGGCCTCTTGGGCTACATGACCATACTCTTCTAGCTACTGGCCTCTTGAGCTACATGACCATACTCTTCTAGCTACTGGCCTTTTGGGCTACATGACCATACTCTTCTAGTTACTGGCCTCTTGAGCTACATGACCATACTCTTCTAGCTACTGGCCTTTTGGGCTACATGACCATACTCTTCTAATTACTGGCCTCTTGAGCTACATGACCATACTCTTCTAGCTTCTAGCCTCTTGGGCTACATGACCATACTCTTCTAGCTACTGGCCTTTTGGGCTACATGACCATACTCTTCTAATTACTGGCCTCTTGGCCTACAGGACCATACTCTTCTAGCTACTGGCCTCTTGGCCTACAGGACTATACTCTTCTAGTTACTAACATCTTGGGCTTCATGTCCATACTCTTCTAGACTCTAGCCTCTAGCCTCTTGGACTCCATGACACAATCGTGAAATCGACACTAGAAGTAATCATTGTCTTTTGTAACTCTTAACATTTCAATCATATGATACCATTTTTCTTGAAGTTTCCCATTTGTGAACCTCGTCTTGATAAAACGAGAACGACATATCAATAAATATATCTTATGTCGAGTGGCAGTGCGGATATCTATGTAATGGAATTTGGGACAAAAACTTGTAAATAATCCCGGCCATAATGGTTGTTTTAATTGCTTGTCTCACGGCAGGGACTATAGTGCACGATGTCGGCACCAATCACGTATCGCCATGTCCATCTCCGCATATACACTCAACGTCAGCATCGTCGTGGCGTCGTCCCCATACATCAGCGAAGTGCGTAGTTACACAAGGGGAACCGTAGGTGGTGAATGGTCCCATTCCACACATTCTGTAGTCACGTCACTCCAATATCTCTACGCCTCGACACTGATAGGAGAGACACGAGAAATAGTCCTGTCATAAGTCCCGTCACACATGCCACGGTTGTTAATTATGGCGGGGCACTCGTCTCATTATTCATGCAATATACTCGGCGACCATACAATTACAAATAGCATTTTTCATTTGCCTTGTCTCTTACATACAATTAAATACAGACCCGGTTCCAAGAAGCAGACCACCGTTGGCGATGTTATCGCTTGTATAATTATTTCAACGATTAAACACCAAGGTTGTGTGGGTATAACCAATTTAACGCTTGACCAATATCATTAGCATCTAAAATGCTTGAACAACACCAAATAATGCGATATTTAGGAGCTCTCGGGACAGCTTATCCCTGAGAGTTCCCAGTGAAGATCCGGGTTAGAATTGATCTTCAGTAATGGATGCTTGTCGTAAGAGGCGACTAACTGGATCGGGTGGTCAGGCTCACTGACTTGGTTGAAACATGTCATCGGTTCCCAATTAGATCGATGCTCATGCTGCTGATCACTGGATTGTCTGGTCCAGACTTGATTATTTACAGACCGCTGACATTTTGCAGGAATATAGCCGAGTGCGGCGTAAAACTAAATTCACTCTCACTACCCCTGAGAGTCGCCCGTTCGTGATGCACGTGACACATGTTTCCTGAACCTTGTGTACGACCATCTTGCTATTCGGCTACTCATGTTTTGAATGTCTATTTAGATGTTCCGGGGAAAGTAGCCCATACAGTTCATGTAAATACAAGTTGAGCACATTGATAATCATCGAAATATTACTTGTCAATATTGATGGGCCCATTATGAGCAACCATAGCCCTGAACAAGAATAGAGTAATTGTTACGAACTGCAATCTCGGTAAACTCATATCCTAGTGTTCGCTACTGCTTTGTGCTGATCGCACCTACATACTGAATAATGATCCAATATTGAACCAATACCCTCGTTCATACACGTACAACTATTAGTTCGTATGTTATTGGATATGTCACTGGTAATTCCACATGATTTCGTCCTTGCCAGAGACTTTCGTTAGCCTCCGGTGTGGACTTTGTGGGTTCGAAATGTGCCAGCAACACACGGTATTCAATTATTCATACTGGTAAATGATAGACACACAAAACTGTTTCGCCCTTGCCAAGTGGTGTTTAACTAATAATCCCGCTGTTAAATGCCAGGCTCAAGACAGAGTGGATCATCAGTTGGTTGAGTCCACCCTAGTGAGGAGGACATGTGTCTTAATTACATGCTTTTGTCAGCTTTCACTCAGAAGGCCGGGATTAGAGTAGCATCTCGTCTCTGAAAAGAACATACTTTACGGGAAAATACGGTCTCTAAATTATGCTAATAAAATATAATAAAACGAAGACCAGAGACTTTCTTCATTTTCAGAAACTGGTAATCTAGGTTTGCCACACATTCTTACATGGGCTGCATTGATATATTTGTTTCAGGGTCTGTTTGACAGACTAGCCGGATAGTATTAGATTTGCACAAGTCTATAAGGTAAAAAATAATAGCTTAAAGGATAATTTCTAAAAAATAATAAATGACAGAATGGGGTCCTGTACTGTCAGCTTATCTAGACTTGCCTCTTCGACGGATAAAAGTACTACTCATCCATGGGCTCAGCATTCAGTACAGCCTTAGAGCAAGGCTAGGGGAGTATATATCCCGTTAATAATATAACACACACGTTTTACCACTGTCACCACTAACAGTTCTTCGTGTAGTAAAACATCCCTCTCCGCATGTTATTTTACGCATGTTTAACTAAAACAATTGACCTGTAACTGATGGGGACCTGTAACTGATGGAAGTTCAGCCAAACAGGGAATCTCTGTAATACTGCCAGGATTGACAGTTCATGGCAGTCCCGTGTAATTATTTTCCCAACAATTTGTGTTTTTTCGTTCTGTTGAATTAGGCCGTACAGGGTAAGATGACACAGTCGATAGTTCTGTCTCTAAGCTCTTAGCCGCACCACACACACACACACACACACACACACTTTTTTCAAAACGAAACCATATCTACTTTACCATAACTACAATTTCATTTTATAAATTAACACACACACACACACACCGCTCTGAAAACCGTTCCTACGCCCCTGCATTTACATTTTAATATCACTGTGATATTGTTTAAATCGTAATCAGCTCTATTAGAGTGCAACCGAGGTCATATATCACCAGCTCACTGTCCTGTTTGTTGACGTCTTGGTCGGTGTGCGGACAGCGTGCTGTCATGGCGCCTCGCGAGCTGCTGTACCCACAACACCTGCTGTTTGTGTTTGTCTCCTAGTAACATCTGATATTGAACAAGTGCGCCTGTCATCTACAGATATCGGTCCCATTTCACCGAACACGTTGATCGGCTTTATAGAGCAAAAGAGCCGAAGCAAGTGTTTGCCGCGTCAGTATATTTTAATTCGTCACCAATTAAACTAGATACTGACTGAAAGTAGATGGGTCCTCGAAATATTATTTCATGCCAGATTCTAGCCTTGCTGCAATGCTGTACTGAGTGCTATACTCATGCACGTATAGTAATTCTATCCTTTAAAGAGGCAAGTCTAGATAAGGGGCAGTACAGGACCACAGTCTGTTATTTATGTATTTTTTAGAAATTATCATTTAAACTATTAATTATTACATTAAAGACTTGTGCATGTCTAGCCAGATTCTTGCTCTTTCGTTTGCATATAAAGAACCTACTTAATTTGACATTTTGTATATTATTACTGTGCAATTGTTGGAAATTCCAAAGTATCATCAAAGTACATTAGCATAAGATTGTTCATAATCAGTTGATATAGCGCTTTATTTATCACTTGTATATCTTCAGTTAGAAATGTGCAGCCGTGTTGGTTCAATTGCTATCTGTCTCAGAGTCCCCGAAAACATTCCCTCCCGTCCTGCTCTTTCTACTATGCAAATGCCCTAAACGAAGAAAGTATAGCGTTCCTTCCGGTTCGGAATCTCCCATTTATATCTGGGGCTTCTTTTCAATTCAAATGAGTGATTTCTCTGTGTTAGTATTACATATTGGCAGAGAGCAACAGTTAAACTAGTTCAGTATATTTCTCGTGTGTTCGAGTCACGGCCCCACGAGACTCCTCTCGAACTCCTCCCCTGAAAAGGACAACCCCGACCCCCATCTCCATCACGCTCCCCCGGGATGCGTTATATTAGATATCTACCCCGCGGCGACCAGACACACCTGCTCACCGCTACAGACTGTTGTTTCATACTCCTACTATTTTCACTTTCCCCGGAACAACAATACTCCCCTTCCGGATTAAATGGCATAAATGGTAGCCACATTGTCGCATTAATCTGTCAGTGGTTTCTTGTTTTTTTCTCCACGCAACATTGGGATTTACAAATAACATGAATGTATCGGCTGCAAAGGTCAGCAGACGACAACTCAAATATGTTCATCATCTGACTCCAGCTATTTCCCTCCACTTTACGAGATGTTGCGGCCATATTACGACTGAGAAAACATCCCGTCGTGTCGGTGCCAGCTCTCTAAACATGTTACATTCAGCGTCATGTGGAGTACGTAAAGCAGGTTCTCTGTCTTCCACACGTTCCATATATATAGACTGTACTCTGCTTGAGGAGAGCGCATTCGTGGCCCAGTGGAAATAGTTTCAGCTCGTTGAGCGGCAGGTGGGTGGTTCAATTCCTGGTCACTTCATAGCAAATCATAAACATGAGAATTAACCAAGGACCACCCACATTCATATATGATAAGTATGAAAACACTATGTTATATATTCTTTGACAACCACTTCTGAGTTGGTCTAGAGTTGTCATTCATGAATATAGGACAAATGACAGGGGGATGGTTATCAAAATGTGGCACGACGACGGTATCAGTATATCCTATTTATGACGTTGACCATTGAGTGGCCCAGGTACTGTAATGAGATCCAATGGTCATACGAAACGCAACCCACACCATCAATGGGCCTTCACCACGTCAGACGTTCCATCGGACCGGCAGCTCGCAGCCTCCTTCTGATGGTACTGGTGGACTGTAACTGTTCATTGCCAGCGCAGTTCTTCCACATCGGTCATGCACTGTATCTTGCTAGACGAATTAAGACTTATGACGGTCATTGGTTTTCATGACCGATGTTCCTGGTCCTGGGCAATCCCGTAATAACCGTGTGGTTAATATTCCAACACCGATGTTGCGGCAGGACATCCCTGCGTCATGCCTGCCAATAACCTGCCACCGTGTGTTTACTGAAAGTCTACGTCTTGTCATGTTGAGTTAACTAACGGTTTTTTTCACTGTCGTCTTGCAAATCAATTCAGAAGACTGAAGTGCACATACTGAAATTTTGAAATTTCTACCCAAATTACTTTTGCGCCTTCTTAGCATGTGAACGTGCGATAGACAGCTATTGAGATTTTGTATCCAGCACGTGCTTTACATGTGCATTTCCAGTATGCTAGACTATGGCAGGGGCGGATACAGCGTTTGTGCACAGTTCATTTTCACCCGTTTTCACGAGTTTCAATGGTCTGCTTAAGCCTAAATCCTACAAATTGCCCTTGGTTTCAGATAGTGCTAAATTAAAGCTTATGTGTATATTTGAGGACAAGTCTCCACCCGTAACAGTATACCAAGCTGGCTAAAGATGAATTTTGACGAACAGATTAAAGGAAACCGCTTTTATCCAAACATTGCCGGGGTGGGTGAAATCGTGGTGGGCCCATTATTTTCCAGGAATGGAGAGCCACTGGTTTATTCCCCGTCTTAACCTCATCCATACTTTAACATTTCAAAAAGCCATTCTCTTGTGGAACAAACCCTTTGCACCCTTTGTGATGCACGTGGAATGCGTTCTCTGCCGCCGCACGTGCACCAACCTCCGTCTCCAGCTGACATTTACAATGCAGACACATAACTCGTCCTAATGTCGTTGGGTTCTAAATTAGTATTCATTCAGTCGTAATGTCGACAAATATAAAACTATGAATAAGTATATATGTTTACCTGAATTAACTGAGTTGTTTGTCGTTAAAGGTATGTCTAATTGCTATAAATATGAACATTGTTAAAGGCAACCTGTTGGTACTTATGCAAAATTATGCATCAGACGGGCGGTCAAAGTTGCAAAATTATGCATCAGACGGGCGATCAAAGAGTCCAAGGACAGATGCAGTTAGAAGTTGGAAGGTTATTATATTTAATGTGACACTAAGACTTAAATTCAATAATTCGTGACGATAGTAAAAGGAAATATAAATTTGATTAAAAAAGAAGAGTGTGAGAAGCACGAGACGCGGTTGAAACGAAAGTGGGACAAACTACTCCCCAATATAAACATATGCAAACTCCCGACCGTTTGCCTTTTCAAAGAAAAGATATCAGTGGATATGGGTTGTTGAAAAAAGGCTGCAAAGTCATGGGAACAAATTTCAATGACAGCGACCTACTGTGAGCAACATTTTGGAAAGCCATGGTGTTTAGGTTTACGTGTTGTTTGTGATATTTCTTTCCGTATTTACGAATGTCTGTATATATAGTCTGTCAGCAACAGCGGATAAACCTGCACCGTCAAGGCCTGGTGTGAAATATATTGCACTCTCGCGATCGGGGGACAGAAAGATGACGGTCCTGATTGAAGGGAGACAACTTGCGTCTCAATTCTTAACTTACAGTGTTGAACCCCCACTTCAGCGTACTTATCCTAATATCACTTTCCTCCTCGTGTTGGTCTCCTACATATTTATTCTTAGCGTCAATTACTTTATATCAATTATTGATCCCGAAACTTTAACGGATATGATACGGCATGCCTGGAGCAGAAGGGTTTTTTTAGCAAAAATCCGAATCATTTCATATTTAATTATAATGTAATTGATATATAAAGCTGGCAAATGTTTTAAAAAAGGAAGCAATTATATTCTATTCTGTCAAAGAAAAAAATCAAAGGTTGGTGTAAGAATGAGCACGATACGCGATTCGAACTCAGATTTGATACGGTGTTTATGAAAAGTTTGAGAAATAAAGGTATTAGAGTAACGTGCCCCTGTCATGGCATGTCAACATGTGCATGGACGGCATCACCCAACAGCAATGGTTACTGGTCAGATGCAGTTTAGCAGATAATGGCTGATGTGGTAAGAACAGATGTGACTGAAAAACCGTACCAACCACAGTGTTTTTTGGGGGGATTACAGGGAGCGGTACCTGTTACATAAGAATCCGAATATCATGGATTACCAGTAGGACATTCGAACAAGGAGGTGCGAAGTTGATGACGAATTTTTAACATTGACTAATTAAGTTTGACAAGCATTTTACATTGGAGCATGTGATATGTTGATGGAAATAAGTGTGTGGCCTGTTATAATGATATTGTAATGTCATACTTCTGAATAAAGATCAGAAAGAGTTAGTGATTTTATGTCACATCTAGCAATATTCTAGCACAGTGAAATATATGCTTTGGGGTCTCCTCATATTGCAGGCACCTTTTGTTCATAATTACTGAAGCAATCAGGCATCTCAAATAGCAAAACAAAGGGATTACTACGGGACCGGGTCAGTATAAACCTGTGACACAAAGTTAAAACTTTTATTTATCAATACAGTACCATACTCAATAGTACTTATGCTGAATGGGTCGTTGTCGGCACAGGTACTACAGATACTTACCCCAGGTACGTTTCTGTGTACAGATATGTACCCTAAACAAAGTCAAAATACAGAAACGTACCTGGTACCCTAAAAGGCGGACGAGTCCATATTCCGCAATCCAAAACCAAAATCGCATGTAGTTGTTCCCGTTCAACTAAAGTACTGTTGGAAATGCTAGAAACATGCTTTTTGACTTATATTTAAAATTCAGAGGTATTACAGTTACTTAAATAACAAATATCACTTTAAGAAACATCTACCTAATGTAGACCGAGGGAATAAATTTTGAGACATGCCCTAAAATGCGTTTGTACTGATGAAAATACCCAAAACTTAGAAAAATAAGAGGTAGTGGGACGTTATTTGATACAAACATTAACTGCCTGTGATACGTCATCAGCATGCACGGTATCGACAGGTGAAATTGACACCTGAGCACACGCTCGGGCGAGGGGTGATCTCAATAGATGTTTTCTTCAGAATGTTGAATATGTGTACGTATAGTATACGTATTGGTTATGTAAGGGATCATTTGTGTATGTGTGTTTGTTGTGAAATAAACATACGAATTACTGTACATTGGAAAGAATCCTATCACTTGTGTTATCTTATCGATTGATTGTAAAAATGTGCAACGTTTTAATAAATGTTTTGAATGTCAACAGTATATTTCATTGCAAAAATATTGATGTAATGCGGTCAGTTGAATCTAGCTGTGAACATTGGCCAAAGATTTAACGAAGTCACTGGTGTAGCTTCTTTAGAATATATATATTCTTCTTCTCCTAAAGTTTGTAGACCGCCCGTCTAAGTACTCCTTTGTCAAAGTTGTCAAGGATGGTTTTACAGCTCTACAAGTTCTGTAATAAACCCTTTCTAAACTAATGAAAGGTTTACCTGTCTTTTTCAAGCACAAAAAACTTATAAACCTTTGCAACAATCGTCTGCAAATAGTTGGCCATAGCTGACGCTGTGATAAAGATGTGCATGCATGACGGGAAACTTATTTATCAAGACTAACATTTATATTAATATTTCTTCAATAAAGAAACGATAATTAAGTAAAGTAACACAAACATTCAACATTTATTTGTTTAAGAAAAACGTTAATTTATATTTTTACACCACCTGTATTATTAGCATAAATGTAAAGACTATTTCAGATTTCTGTTGTTGAACTCTGAAAAAATCTTAAGTTGTTGTTTTGGTACCAAATTCTCTCCTGTAAACTGCCCTTTAAATGCATGGGAATGTTAAATCAATTGAAATAAAAATTAGGTACACTATAGGTGAGTTGATATATTGACAACATAATACATGTATCACCTTTCTAAAGATGTTAAGGCTAAAAAGCATTTTTCTAGCATTTCCGACAGTACTTTAATTGCGATTGATATTCATGTGCATCGCGAAATATCCGTTACTGTGTATTCTCATTACTTACATAAAGCAATCAAATGTATCTAATACAACAGCATGACAATTCCGATCAAGAATATGACACAATGGGAATGGAATCGTCCTAGGGTACCTTTCTGTATTCTCATTATGGCCAGGGTACGTTTCTGTATGCAGAAACGTACCTGGGGTACATATCTGTAGTACCCGTGCCGACAACGACCCCTTCAGCAGTACTTATTTTATAAAATATACATTTTTTATAAAATATACATTTTTTATAAACTACACACACACACACACACACACACACACACACACACACACACACACACACACACACACACACACACACACACACACACACACACACACACACACACACACACACACACACACACACACACACACATACAAATATATCAGAAAGAAAGAAAAGAAAGAAAGAAAAAATAATCACTGGACTTCATGAACTACATTTTATGTTAGTACTGTAAAACATTACAATTAAAGTCCAACTAAATGTGACATGGAATCAGCAAATTCTATGGATATGTCGGAGTAACATCGTTGGCAGTGTTGATGGTTGTAGGACAGCCTGCCTAACAACATCTCCATGCACATTGGTGTGGCGTCTCTTTTGTACTCTGAACATATAACGCTGATAGACAAGGTTACGACCACCTTGCGTATTAGGAATAACCTCTAGATTTACTTGTACATTAGCCATGAATGATAGTGACATTTTCCTGTGTAAGATATAGCTGTTAACAAGATGAATTTTATTCAGTGACATTAATTGAACATGGATATTTGGTGAGTTGATGTCAGTCTGACAATCTATCAGTTTGGAATTTCTCCTAGGCCATGAGTTTAGTTATTGAGACGATCCCTTTCCTTATAACAACATCACTAATCCTAATTCTCTACAGGCTGCCTGCACAGTGAGGATAAACCTATGCTTTACATACTGCGCCCATGTCCGCTGTTAACCATTAGTCTACGAGGATAAGGAAGAAAGCGCTTCAGGTCATTACAGTGTGGATAAATCAGTATCATAGTGAAAATAGGTGTTGTACTTCTCAAACTATACAACCGGTTTTGTGTTGTATGAAATATCCATGTTGTAATGAAGTCCCTGTTGGTTACAGAGTGTGGTGGTCCCTGTTTACAATGGAGAGAAATGGCTGTGTGAGTGTCTTGAGTCGGTACAACAGCAGACATTCAGTGGCCATCTACAGCTGTCTGTGTATGATGATGGAAGCACGGTAAGACACAATACTGCATTCTGTGAAACAAACAAGAGAAACCACAAGACAAATTTGTCTCTGTGTTCCGTGACGAAAGGTAACAGATATATGTGCGAGGGAAATATGTTCATACTTCCTTTATTCAGCAATTGATGCTTCCTCCTCAGGATGGTACAAGCAACCTGATCCGGAAATGGAGACAGCGTTTGGAGCCTCTCGGTATAGAAGTCGTCACAGGTGGACATACAGACACACAACCTAGGGGAGGTAAGTGCTTTGTGATGTGTGCAGTTGAAATATTTTATGATGGTAATTTTTGTGTTCTATAACTTTCTGATGTACTAAGTGATTATTTTACAGTTGGCCATTCAAAGAACATGGCAGTGAGTCAGAGTACAGGGGACTTCCTGTGTTTCCTGGATGCTGTGAGTACACGTTTTACTGACACTGTACATTCTGAGAGTAAAGGCTTTACTGACAGCCACTGTACAATGCAATATTGAACAATCTTTATGGTTAACAACTTCTTATATTTTGTGAGTGCAACATTTCGATACAGATTCTTGTACCATTGTCAAGTGCGACGTTTCGATACAGATTCTTGTACCATTGTCAAGTGCGACGTTTCGATACAGATTCTTGTACCATTGTCAAGTGCGACATTTCGATACAGATTCTTGTACCATTGTCAAGTGTGACGTTTCGATACAGATTCTTGTACCATTGTCAACGCTTCGATACAGATTCTTGTACCATTGTTCAAATACAGATTCTTGTACCATTGTCAAGTTTGCAACGCTTCAATACACAGATTCTTGTACCATTGTCAAGTCGACGCTTCGATCAGATTCTTGTACCATTGTCAAGTGACGCTTTCGATACAGATTCTTGTACCATTGTCAAGTGCAACGTTTCGATACAGATTCTTGTACCATTGTCAAGTGCGACGTTTCGATACAGATCCTTGTACTGTTGTCAAGCATACTTGCTTGACAATGGCACAAGAATCTGTATTGAAACGTCACACTCATGAAATCAAAGAAGTTGTTATCATAAAGTTTGTTCAATATTGTACTTCCCAACTTCTAAAATGCCACTCAAAGAAACTACTCAATGCTATGAGCGTATATTTTACTGACATATACTATGTTCCGTTCTTTAACACTTAGCATTAATCATGTGTCAGAAAGTTATCACTTACATTTAATTTGATTTTCATTTAGATTTAAAACAAACACCATTTCACTTCTATCACTGCTTTGTGTAAAGATAATCCAGATCATCACCTGTAAGTGTTGTTCAAACAGGGGAAAATCAGATACCAAAGCACTAGCTAAATAAATCAGAATATGACAAAACACAGGTCAGTGATAAAACATTGAAATCATATCTTGTCCATTTTGTTCCTGAAGAGTAGAGCTGTTTGTTGTAGGATGACGTGATGCACTGTGATCGGGTCAGCAGTCAGATGGAGGCTGCCAAGGCACACCCCAATGCTGTGAGTCCTTGATTGTTCTTGGATAGAAGGGACAACGCTTAGTGAGAGTAGAAACCAAAGTTTGGTTGGAGGCACCAAAAGACCAAGCAGTCATTACCATTTCTACAAACCTTCAGGGATTTACAGGACACAAATTCCTGAGTCCTATATTCATAAATATTGACAATGGACGCAACAAAATTTATTAGTGCGTCCTCAGGGACTCAGAAAAAGTCCAATTACCTTTTGTAAAAATTCCTATTAAGTGACAATAAGTTTTCACTGAGTTTGCTACCAGCTGGGTTATGGTATTATTTGCAATTTAATTACTGTAACAATGTGATGATCATGATACACAATACAATATTTAAGTGTCTGGGACCCCCATTTTGTTGTCCAGGACCCCTGAAAATTAAGAGTATGAGTCCCAGGGACCCTCAAATACAGGACTCCATGTAAATCCCTGAACCTTTCAAAACTTCCTGAGAATGATGAAACTTTCACTATAAACACTCATCCACTGATTAGTTATTAGAATTCAGCACTATAACTTCTTGTGCGGATTTGGCGTGGTGGTGTGGATGTGGAGGTAGATGTCCCACAGTGGATGTGTGCAGCTTTGATTGATATTCTCAATAAACTGTATTCCCGGCATTTTAATGTAAATTGGTAATGATAAAAAAATTGTATGTATATTAGTTCCCTCTAGTCCCATAAATTAAGTTAAAAGTGAAATACTGAATATTTTATAAATAAAAGTGCTTTCATAAACTGCTGCAGGCAACATGTAGGAAACAAAGATTGTAAACTCCCAACATGGCTAGGTTTGCTCAATTACAGTGCATATAGAGATGACAGGTCACTGTGAGGAGCTGAGGGACACTTGATGACCCAGCAACAATCTGATCTAGAAGGGCATTGTTTCGCCAGTGTCCCTTTTAATAAAGTTTCACAAATTATGTCATAGGTTAATGGGACGTGTTTGCAAATGTTTTGGTGCTGAATTCTAAAGGTTGACTAGTTCATGAAAATGTCAGGTATTTGTAACCCTGTACGTATGTAGAGTGATGATGTATTGGCATAAGCAGACCATTGTTTTTATAACATGACATGTATGCTGACCTGATGTACGGCAATGCTGTGTTTTAGATAATAGGCAGCTGCTTCCATCGTACGCCTGCTGACTCGACCCGGAGGTTCACCAGGTGGGCAAATTCCCTGTCCTCAGACCAGCTGCCTCTCCAGGTAGTGTTCTAGAAACTCTCCAAAAAGTTGAAATAATGATTTCAACTCCCCACCACCACCAAAATAATTGTTGGATATGGATATTTCCTTATTGATCTTGTCTGAAATGGGAAGAATATTTATGCCGATAGGTTTACAACATTGGTACATGTTGCTGCCCTGCCTGTCACTCTGCAGGGACAAAACAAGGACTGATGGGCTGGAGTCAGTCTACTCTGTCTTAGTGGGGTAGGACCCTTGAAGATCCGGGGTAGAATAGGTCTTCAGCAACCCATGCTTGCCACAAAAGGCGACTATGCTGGTCGTAAGAGGCGACTAATGGGATCGGGTGGTCAGACTCGCTGACTTGTTTGACACATGTCATCCTATCCCTGTTGAGCAGATCGATGCTCATGCTGTTGATCACTGGATTGTCTGGTCCAGACTCGATTATTTACAGACCGCCACCATATAGCTGGAATATTGCTGAGTGCGTCGTAAAACTAAACTCACTCACTCACTTAGTGGGGTAGTCAATGCTATCTCACTGGGCTTGTGTTATAAAGCTGGCATTTGTACGGACTAGTACAAACCACATGGCTTACATGTCCATGTATGCCACTAGATCAATGCAATATTCTTGAACTCTATGTTAAACCTTACTTCACCTCAACTGTAAGAGACAATGAGCGCATAACACTTTGATGTGTTTTACTGTTAGCTTGAGTTATACCATGAAGTACCCAAACAATGATACTTATGGCATGTGTCTCCCCAGGTGTTCACGTCTCACGGACCCACTGTCATCATGCCGACTTGGTTCTGAGTTATACCATGAATTACCCAAACAATGATACTTATAGATGGCATGTGTCTCCCCAGGTGTTCACGTCTCACGGACCATGCCGACTTGGTTCTGAGTTATACCATGAATTACCCAAACAATGATACTTATGGATGGCATGTGTCTCCCCAGGTGTTCACGTCTCACGGACCCACTGTCATCATGCCGACTTGGTTCTGAGTTATACCATGAATTACCCAAACAATGATACTTATATGGATGGCATGTGTCTCCCAGGTGTTCACGCCTCACGGACCATCACTTAATTTGGTTCTGAGTTATACCATGAATTACCCAAACAATGATACTTATGGATGGCATGTGTCTCCCCAGGTGTTCACGCCTCACGGACCCACTGTCATCATGCCGACTTGGTTCTGAGTTATACCATGAGGTACCCAAACAAGATGGGTCTGCATCTCCCCAGGTTTGTTACAGAAGCTGGACATGGGCTAACACTAAGTCTCTGAATAGGTGGGGTGCATCTGACGCTTTGTTAAGTTTGGCAGAAACTAAATATTATATTTTGAATTGAAACAAATATTTCATTTTGAATTGAAAAGGAGCCCCAATGGGATTAGAGATTTAGAACCTGAACCTAAGGAAATCTAGACTTGTTCCATTTAGGGCTTTTGCATTGCAGAAACTGCTTAGCAGAAGGAAAGTTACTGCAGTTCAGGGACTGTGAGGCAGACTAAAACTGGACTGATACTCATTTATTTCTAAATTAATGGGAGTCTAGTGAGATTAGCTGATAATATGCCCGGTGATATATATATTTAGTTTGACCTGTCTGTATGTCCGGATGACAGTACAGGGGTGGAAATAACCCATTGCCCGACGTCCGTGTCCAGTGTTTTTTTCTGTCGGACAAGCAGACTTGTATATCACACTGTACCGGTGTCCATTTGACTTTCCAATGTTAATAATGTTGTTTATTTAAAGAATCAACAAGAAAGCAGCCGGTATAGTGGAAAAATGATCAGGGCAAGTGATTTTACATGTGCCACTGTACCGGAGTACACTAGCAATTTTAAAGTTATTTCCACCCCTGCAGTTTAATGTGTGACACGTTTATACAAAATCTACTTACTTACTGTATAAAAGGCTTTAGGTTGGTTTTTTGTGTGTTTTTTTGTACTACACACAGCCTGTAAAGATACATTCACATCCATTTATGAACCTAATGACATTTTGTGTCTCCTAGGCCTTCTGGCTGGGTGGTATATATTTTAATTTGTCCTGTTTGTATGTTTATATGTATGTAAACTGTGTGACACGAAGATAAAATATTTACTTACTTACTTACTTACTGTTATGAATTTGCAAAACATATTGGCTTGGGTGGATAAATAATGTTCATGATTTACAGTCTCAGTTTGTCTCAGTAGACCTGGTTGTGTCTCTCTATTTGTTTCCTTCTGTAATGAAGTCCCACTTTGACTCTTAGACATGTTGTTGTGTCTAATATTCCACTATTATTCCTGCACTCACAGGACTTCACTGTTACTGAAATATTGCTGATTTACATCTTATTTGTGCAGGGGGTCCCGGAAGACTTGATTTTCTTCTACCGACACCTGGAGCTAGGTGGGGACGTTGTGCGTGTAGACCGAGACCTGCTCACCTACAGATACCACCCACAAGCCACAACATTCTCAGTACACGAGTAAGTCTGACACAGGGAGATGACAAGACAAAATCCCAAACAGATAATGAATAGTCTGTATCAAAGTTCCTCTGATGAATACAGAATGTACACTGTATTGATTTGGAACACATGAAAGAAGCGTGTAGGATGGAGACCCATGTAGGATGATCACACCATGTTGAGAGGCAGTGGGATAGCCCAGTTGTAAGCCAATCGTGTGTTGTTCCAGTGACCCAGGTTTAGTTGATGGTATGCCATCACATGTCCAATCAAACTGTCTTATCAGCAGGATGCCATGATATAACTGGACTATATCTGACTGTGGCATTGAACAACAATTCTTTAGAGGACCATGTGGTTTCTCTAAAATTGCTGTATTATTTATGATTTGTCGTTTTTCTTCAGAGACACCATCTGGAATCTCAGAGTTGAGTTCCTTCAGAAACAAGTATTGTCTCATTGGTCCAAATTCACAATCTGGAATGCTGGGAAACAGGGGAGGAAACTCTTTCGCTCTCTTACACCCGAGAATCAGAAGAAGGTAGGAGTTTATTCTGTGATTGTCAAATATATAATGATCTCAAAGTAGCAATTGTATGTATTTCAGCTACATGGCAATGTTTCGGTATAAGTCTATATAGCGTTATCAAACAACTTATACTATATACTTTCACATTGTACAAAACTAAGGTAGTAGCATTTCAGGGAGAGGAAGTTGATGAACCTGCATGAACCTAGCTCATGTGAAGTCCTCAGAATCAACATGTCTGGTGAATGTGTCAATGTGTAATGTCAATGTCGAACATTCTGTGAGTGACTGCTGCTTTTCCAGTTCGCGCTTGTACAGATGTATGGGTCTTACCAGTCATCAAAACTTTACTATGTGATTCATCCTAAGACACAAGAAGAGTGGTGTACTGGCTCTTTCAGTTGTGTCATTGTTTTAGAGTCATGTAATGACACAGAATGAATTTATCATTACTCTGATTATAGAAGAATTCTTATTTTAAATCAATGTAATGATGTGTGACAAGAAATATCATATGCCACAACCTGATAGAAAAGGGGAAGTCAGTGTAAAAACATTTGATTCTCATCAAAAACAAAGAACATCTGGATAGTCTATGCGGATACCGATTCCATTCTAACACATATCACGTACTGCATGGAAACACTGTGACAGCGATGGGCTATGAAGACTCTACTGTGCCAATATTTGTAGCCATCCAACCAACTTACATGGGTGTGTTGCTGGTCAGGTAGCCTGTAAGTCTGTTGTGGTGGCCCTCCAGGGACAGTTTGGTGTTGCAGGTGTGTGGTTTCTGTGATGTGGATGCCAAGAAGATCAGTAAAGGAGTGTACATCTATGAGGAGTCCAAGGTAAGGGAGGCAACCTCTCCAGCTCAATCTTTTCCAAAGCGTATTCCCATCTACCGGTATGTTCTCGAGATGGCTACGAAATACTTGCATTTGTAACACATGTTACATTTGGGATTACACTTTCTTAGTAAAGTACAAATTCTAGTACTTTTTAGTTGAGCCCCATCCGGGATTCGAACTCACACCCTCAGAGTCAGGCACCCAATCGCCAGCACACAAAGTCAGCCGCCTAACCCACTCAGCTACCGCGACTTCCACAAAAATGGAAGTCGGACAACTGGTAGTCTAGACTGCGGGCTTTGTGTACCCCGGATGGGGCTCAACTCAAAAAGTACTAGAATTTGTACTTTACTAAGAAAGTGTAATCCCAAATATAACACATGTTACATTTGACCACTTTCTAAATGGCATTGTGTAATCATACTTGTATTTGGTTTTCTTCCACAAAAGCACTAACTGACTGAAGCTCCCTTAAAATGATACAGGTTAAACTTATGCCATAAGAATATTCACAATCAGCATGTTGAAGTGACTTGTAGCACTAGCAAAAGACTATGGCCGTGATGACCTTGCCTTGTCTGTATATTTATGATGTCACATCATGTATGTTTTGTTGTTGCAGGAGCGTCCTAAGCCACGACTTCCCATAATGCATTTCAGTACTGCCATTCCTCCGCTGATCATCTGCGTGAAACAGGTAATCCTAATTTGTTTACTGCTGATATTAAGCATTCTAGATCCACCACATCAACCTGTAAATAACCTTGGCTGGACTAGACGAACCGGTGTGTGATATTCTGAACATCTTACACCATCAGGGCAAGTCACGGAGCAAGATCATAAAATCAAACTTATCTTTTACAACCACGGATAGGGACTTAATATAACCCAAAACCCATGGAGTGTCTCTGTGGAGTATGTGATTCATCATATTCCGGGACTGAAACATGTCTTAAAGATACCATGGGGGGACATGGTTTCCTTGATAAAATGTTGTTTTACAGTTATCAAATTCTTACATTTCTTTGTTGTTTAATATATTGCCATGCCACTGAACATGGTCCACTTTCCCTTTCACAGGACCTCACAAGTGGCAGTTTTGAGGAGAACTTGGCCTCACTGAAGCTGGTAGAGGGAACAGACTACGTCCATTTTAACTGAGCCAATGGTGATAACTCTCTTCATGGTACCTTAGCGTCAGTGGCCTAGAACTGTCAGGGAGAGGAGGTGCGCCTTGGTGTCGGTGTGAGGTCCGTTGACTTGAACCCATTTGGGATGAGCTGGAGAGACAAGTGCGACATTAGATCAACCAACCAGTATTCGTTGACCATTAGTGAGGATATCTGGTTGGCAACAAGTGTTCTGATCAATTATGTTCATAAGGAGACGTTCCATCACGGCAGCCCTAGGTCACAATTGTTGAATTATTGTTTAACAATTCCAGTGTGAATTTTTTTGTTAGGAGGTTATGTAACATGTATTACATTTTCTAATAAAATGATCCATCTTGTATTGCTACCTGGATAATTCACATCTACTTTCAGAATAATGCGCACACTACTTTCAATGCAATTCACGAATTTTTTTGATTTGCTTGAATATATATCATTCTTAGCAACTACAATAAAATCAAGACTGGTCAACTGAACACATGCAAGGCATGTTGTACTGAAAGGATAGTGTACTTGTGTACAAGCTTGTCTTGATGGCTGCAATGCGTGATTGCCTTCTAACATCCTTCGTATCCAGATTGGGATTTCACCGCTTAACACTTGCCATAATATCCCTGAGGAGAAAATTTTAGAATGAATTTTCCAGTTTAACCTGAACTGACAATGACTCCTATTTTCAAAGACATCAAGTCTACAGATAATTGTCTTGACTTGCTTTTGAATGATCAGAAACGAGACCGTTTAAGGTCATTTGCAAACATTTATGGAAAGGTTGAAGTGTCTGAACTATGCAAAAGTGTCCGACAGAACCAGCATGTGAAAACCCCGCGAAAGAGATCTTCAAAAATATGGCATCAAAAGGCAAGTTAGTGGTACTTTTGTATCAGTTTCTTGTAACATCTGAAAACCTTGTCACCTATCAAAATGTAAGAGTTACTAATTACAGGTTGTATTGTCTTTTTGTTCTGGGATCATCTGTGACAACTGAAAGCTATGCAAATAAATTCAAAACTTAAATTTTTGCACATTTATTATTGAAAAGCCACAAATTCATTGAGAATCCTGTACAATACACTGCATGCACACATGCAGGAATGACCATGACTGGATTTCATTCAAGTATCATAAACCTATTTCCTTCACGATTGCCTTATTCAAATTTTGCCTCCCAACTTGCTTATCTGAGGCCTGCCCAGAGGCAGCATCATGCCCTCTTGCACGTGACCATACATAGATGTATGTACCAGATCACAACAATCACGTACCTCTACATGACACTGTAGCACTTGTAGCTCGTAGAAATACATACAAAAAATGTACTAATATGGCAAAAAAAGTAAATAAGTACAAAATAACTTTTAGAAACTAAATATTGACCTTCACACTTGTAACATACATACAAGCAAGTTGCCAAAGAAGGGAAAGACTTTGAACATGTGTATACTCATGTATACAGCGACATCACCCATGACCTGGCCGACCATGATGCAGTCAACACTGCGTTTACATGGTCCACTGTTGGCCTGCATTGAGGCAGCCCGCTGTGTAACCATGGCTACCAATCAGGAATCATTTCGATTAGTGTGGTGACCATAGCAACAGCTCTCAAACTCCCCGTTAACAGCAAAACTAATGTAATTATTAGATTCGATAATATCTGTAAACTCAACAAAAATCTGTTTTCTTCAACAGACTGAGATACAGTAACACTGCAAGGCTTCAACTGCGGTCATGAGGTGTGAGTTCCATCATGTCCCTTCCTCTACAACGCCACTGAACATAAATAACACATATTCCATTATGTGTCCTGGAAAATAGAAACAAGTACTTGATATACAAGTACACAAACCTAATCCTACTTCAAGACTAGCTGATACAATGTGGCTTGTACCTGGAGAAGATATATGTATTGTATTTCCAATACATGGCAAAACTAATTCAATAGGACATCCTTCCTAACATTCAAATTAAATTCATTTTCTAAATCTTGTTCAATCTTCATGTAAGAATTACCAAAATTAAAACATCTCATACAGGAAGATATGCAAAGCAATAAGCTTAAGTCAAGATATAAATTAAAACACTAAAATTCAGTGATGAAATCCACAATGTGTCGTCAAGATGCCAGGTCTAGGATTGTAATCATTCTAAAAGCGTAAAACTTGTTTTACAGGGTAAAATGTTACATCCCCAGTGACAGTCTTCATGCTTACATGAACTTCTATCTACACATGTCTAGTACAGGCGACAAGCATGATGACAAACTTGTAAGAGTTCTCTCCCTTCTTTACATTCCCACACAGCCTTGTTTTAGTGTCTCCAGGTGCCTGACATCATTCAAATACTTCATACAACTCTTCCATCATGTGTTACAGGGCTACCCTGTAGGTGATTTTCGCAGGTCTTTGTGAGGTATTTCCTGGGGTGTTTTCACAGCAGTGCAACAGCTATTACAAACTGCTGTGAAACCGGACACTAGACATGCTGTCCTTTTACTCTTCGGCTTAAGCACTGTCATTGTGTATGGGGTTGACGAACCTTGCTGCCATCCTGGAGCGGGACTTCCTTGGCGAGGAAACCGGGGTGTCTGTGGCAGACCCTGTGCTGGACTTGGTGGAGCTGGTCTCCAGGGGCATACTCATTTTAAACATCTCGTCAAATGACACATTGTGGGCAGCGTTTTGCTCACTACTTTCATCACTGCTAAAACTGCTACTTGCATCCTTCAGAGTGGTATTGATGCTGCCACCTTCTGAGGCAGGGACTTCCACTGGAGTGGAGGTAGCTGCGTTCACACTTGGCTTAGACCCAGTCTCTTCACCATTGGGCAATTTCTCCGCTGGCTCTATACTGGGAGTGTGACCATGGCTACGGAGCGCAGGATCTGCTGGACTCTCTCGTCCTGAGGCTGTGACACGGAAAGTTCTGCTTACTACTTCCAGTTGTTCTGGACTTGCCTTCCACCAGCCTCCTTTCAGTAGCTCCAGCAGTTCATTGGATGAAGAGTCATGGTCACCTAATTCTGTTGCCGTGACAGCCAGGGTCATTGCACTATTTCTAGTGAGTCCCTGTTGGCTGTCAATGGCAGGTGACGTGCTCCGACTGTTGCCAGCACCTTCTGGTGGTCGGATGACGAGGCATTGGGCAGCAAACTGCAGTAGCTCGGATGTGGGAGTCAGACACAGTGGAGTCTTCTGTCCTCGCTTCTCCTCATCAGTCAAGAACAGGATGTCCTGGTCTGCAACACAAAACAAAATTTAGAACAGTTTAAAGTACAGTGTAAAGTTCAGCGTTAGTCACACTTCATAGCTTTTGAACCCCATCACTGTGACATGGTCATTACATCCCCATGCAAGTTAACAAAAAAAAATACCATTTTAAACAAGGTTAATACATGTATATGTTCATCCAACCAAGTGTTCATCCAGCATGCTTACTGCGTTGAAAAAGAAAGTGCACGACAGACAGACAGAAAATAAATCTTAATAAGTACACTGGTATATGACCAGATGGTGGCCACATGAATACGTGCAAACACCTAGTTGCAGGTACAGCAACGTGCAGTGAACTTGGATAAAGTACTGTGAGAAAGCCACAATAACTTGGTGCACCTAGTGGCTGCAAGAGTTGCATAATCAACAGTGAGTTGAAATTGATAACACGATGTGCCGTTGAGATTGACATCCAATGATCAAGGGAAAAAAAAATAACAGTGCCTTGAGCAAGCACTAGTTTCCTTGATATGTGCGCTATATAAATATCGTATAATTATAATAATACACTACAAGCTTGGCCTGAATACCTAATGTTGATTGACGTGTTCACGCAATACACATTCCATTTGAGGTAGGACTTCTCTGGTGTTTCAGTATGTTTAAAATTCAAATGTACATGGTCTACAATAGGTCTATTGTGTACATTGAAGATTGATAGCTTATAGAACCATAGCACCCAGACAGCAAAATATTTTCTGTTGGCTAAATGACCCATGAAGATCCAGGCTATAATTGATCTTCAGTAACCCATGCTTATCAAAAGAGGAAACAGGATTGGGTGGTCAGGATTGCTGACTTGGTTGAGACATTGTATTCCCAATTGTGTAGATCGATGCTCATGCTGTTGATCACTGGATTGTCTGTCAAAACGATTATTTACAGATCACCGTCACGTAGATGGAATATTGCCGAGTGCATCGTTAAACAAGTAACCAACTGTTGGCTAAACATAAAGTACCTTGCCGTTGAACAATTCTCAATCTATCTCTAAGTGCTAAGAAGCAATTTAAGCAAGTGAAGTGTGATGCACCTTGTGGGGAGTCAAGCTGAATCAGGTCCTTCGTATGGTGAAGAGCTGGTCTGAGCTCAGGGGATGGGATGGCAGAGGGCACTGGCTGGCTCAGTACATCCACATGTGACGTGTCCAGGTCTTCGTCTGAAAGTGTCAGTGACAATAGACTCCAGCTGTATATAATATTTTTATCAGCAAACATAAAAAATCAATATTTTACTCAGCATATTGATAGATATATTTTCTGTTTGCATAAATTGCACGATAGTGTTCTGAGTAAGATCTACAATAACAGTTTTACCAGCTGCACCACTTGAAGAACCAAATATTCAAGAGACCAAAATAAGCTGTAAACTTAATGCAATACTTGAAGCAAAGGAAGGGCATTTACCTAAAGCATCATTGACCCCAGAATCGTTGGAGGACTCTCCTTTTCCAGCATTCAGTGCCTTGTGGTCCCCAGAAAAGAATATGCGAGCTGGACTCCCTTTGAGCGAGGCTGGCAGTGTAGCTATGGAAACAAGAGAAGTGAGTGATGGTTATCGAGGGTCTAGCAAGACAAAAGCTCTGTCAGTCAGTCACTTACCTAAATAACTTTTCAATTCCAGTTTATATGTAGGAAAGCAAAACATTTTGATAATACCGGTGCTTTCTATATAATGGAAGGGAATTTGTCTCTAACAAGTTACTTAATACTGACAAGTCAAAGCGGCTTTCATATGACAACTGCCTATCAGTGAGACAAGTATTAACAACTGACCTGGGACTTTAATTGCTAGGGACAACTGCACGTATTTGCGGTTGCCCTTTCCTCGGACGGACACAACATGCGGGATGGCCTGCAGGAGGGAGTGAGTGCAGTCAAACCCGTGCAGTGCTGGCTTTATCTCCAATCCATGCACCTCAAAGAATATCTTGTCAAACTGATGGAGTGGGATTCGGCCATGGCGCATCAGCATATGGCGGATGTCCCGAGCAAGTGTCTGCAGTGCTGTCAGGCGGATCACTGCTGAGCCGTCGTCATCCCCCGACACCTGGAAGTAGTCACAAGCTCAGATGGAAATTCTACAATGTGTTGTGAAAAAATATATATATTTCTCCTTCTACTACATAATATATAGCTTTTATTTGGCAAAATGACAATTTGAAATTGTTCTATAAATAATTCTTAATGTTACCTCTCCTGGTAGATTAAACTAATGCTTACTTGTAAAACAAAAAAGGATTTACAATTCATGTTGCAGTATTTCTTTGGAGTGACTGATGCAGAGAGCATCGTTATAACCATCAACAGTTTGAATCATAACGGCTGTGGACATACATGAACGAAATCCACAAGCTCTTCCTTGATGGTCTGGACATCACACTCTTCAGAGAAGGTGGTCTTGTACCAGCTGCACAGCTCCACTAGGGGCAGACAACCAGAGCTCTGATCCATCAGCAGCTGTAGAACACGAAGAGCAAGGGGAGGCAACTCGGTGGTCTTCATCAACACAACATATTCCACATTGTTGTAGGTCTCAATCTGAAAAAAGAGGAATTCCACATTCTCATCTTAGGTGTCAAACAGTCCCAATGATCAAGCGAAAGGAATTTGATTATGATGATCTGATCAATGACAATGGCAGTACTCACACTGATGATGTGTCTTAGCCTTGCTAGAAGAGCATCTAGTGACACCACCTGGAAATCCTGTAGGTGAAGGTTGAAGCTGAACTGGCGAGTGAAGGCTGGTAGAAGGTCATCCTTTATCATACCATGACCGGGTTGTATCTTGAGCAGGTTTGTGATCTGTTCAGACAGCACCTTCCTCATCTCTGGCTGTGTGAGTCGAAGCAGCCTCTCATCACCCTCCTCCTCCAGCTGGTGTTAGCAGAAACATGTTTAATGCCAACACAACATTCTATTTGTCGAGACATTGTCCACAGTTAGCATGAACTTGGGTCTTTCTATAATTTCGTTCAGACTATAATACCAGACCAAAGATATTGTTACCAGACTTGGATCTGGATAAGAGGTTATGGTGCAGACTGGATCATCATAATCTTTATTTAGTATGTTGAGGGGAGGTAAAATGGGGTTTAATGTCGTACTTAATATGCATGTAACGTGCATGTATGTGCATGTGTGACTGCTTGTACTAGCCCAGACTTAACCTGGTGTGATAGTATTAGCTCACTGGATACCATGCCGCAGTTAAGCATGAATACCCAACTTGGACACATACTGACTGAGCCGACCAGTCCTTGTTTTACCCATTTATGACGAGTGACAGGCAGGGAACAACTAGTACCATATTTTAATGTCTTGATGTGGCCGGGGATCGAACCCGCGACCATTTTCTCTCCGGGCGGACTCTCTGACCATTACACCACGAAGGTGAGCTTTTTAGTATTTTGAACAGATAATGATATTTATACAGCTGTAATGGAAACAGCTTTGCTTATGTTTTCCCAAAATACTGATTCTAAAGACATATCTTCAGATTCTAACAATAGCTATGCACAGTATATTGGCTATTTCAGCATTCTAATGTGAAAAGGACTTACCTCTACAACCTGAGGCACAGCTTCGAAGAGGTCAGTTAGCTTTGTAAAACCGTAGTCTGCTACTCTGCACTGTCTGCCGAAGTGGTGATGATACGCTGGGATGAACTTGTTGAATGGCATGCGGCATCGTGGATTGTGCTTCAGCAGATCAACTACTTCAAGTGCAAACTGTTTAGTGCGCTCTATCTCATCAGGTGTCTGGTCTGAAAACAATTAAACTTGCATATGATAACAAGTTTTACCAGATTTCAGGCATTTTTAGGTATTACTTTTATTTCTACAAGAATGAAATTCAATATGATTTCTGAAAACATGCCTGGATACTACCTAGTTATCCATGTTAACAAGGGAACAGGTCAATAGGGCCGCATGAAAGTCAAAAGGGCCACAAAACCCTGTTAAAGTAAAGTGTTAATGCCCAAAAGATGTTTGATATAAACTACATTCTGAACTTTTGTTTAGAAGTTGTAGAAAATATTTTCCTTTGGACACATCAGTCTAAAGTGGAAAGTGTGCATGTGAGTTTAGTTTTACACCACACTAAGCAATATTCCAGCTATATTGCGTAAGTGGAACTAAGAGCGACATAAATATAAATATCACTATTCCTATTAAACATGCTACTTGAGCTTCACATGGAAACTATGGTTGTATGACTTACCTCTCTTGGGAACCGAAATAAAGGACTTGCCATCCTCCACAGTCATCTGAAGTTCATCAAAGTACAATAACATAAGTATACAGTTATTCAGACCATGTGACTGATTATGCAAAATCACAGACAGGAATCCGTTTTTTGATTTATCCAGATGAAATACGTCACCTAATTAGCTCCACTTAATAAATCAGTTGTTTGGTTTGTTGTTACACTCACCAATATTCCAGATACATGGTGGCGGTCTGTAAATAATCAAGTCTGGACCAGACAATCCAGTGATCAACAGCTTGAGCCTCAATCTACGCAATTTGGATATGAAGTGTCAACCAAGTCAGCAAGCCTGACTACTTGATCTTGTTAGTTGACTCTTATGAGAAGCATAGGTTACTGAAGACCAATTCTAACTCGGATCTTCATTGGTCCACTGAATAATTGAATAAAGTTTCTGTTTGGATCCCGATACATTTGGGGAAAACAGTTCCTGTTGGTATATGATGCAAACAATGTCGCTGCCCATTACTGAGGCAGTAGTGAGGACTCACCAGGAGAGTTGATGGAGGGATCTCCATGAGCAGATCCTCGATATAGCAGACTCCATACTCCGTCACATCCCAGGCCTTGCCAAACACAGCTTCTGTAATTGTAGGATCGTAGTCAGACACTTGGACTATTACATGACCTTCACTACAGACAGTGTACATGCCTGAAGGCATTATATAAATCCTACCTGTTCATAAGCATGCTTTTCAGAGCATTCACTTAGACTATTGAATGTTTGGAACACTTTGAACATTCATTATTTCACAAAACCGGCAGATACAACTGGATCATCTCAACGTCTTGAGGGGTGATACTATTTACGATTATCACAGAGCGTGGAAACATGAGCTCACCGAAAGCCTCAGCGAATTCCTCCACTGCCAACTGTTTAGCAGGCTGGCCTTTCAACACCTTGAGTAGATCAGCAGTGAAGCGACGAATCTGAGCACGGTGACTCAAAGTCAGGATCTTCCGATCTCCGGTACCAAGAACCTGAAACAATCAGTGTTACTCTTATCCTCTCCATAAGAATCGGTGATGGAAGATACTTTGAAACTTAAAGACATTGGGTACCAGTCTTTCTTTTCACAGACCATTTAGAAAAGACAAAAGACACTTTATATATTATGTCCTTTTTCCATTAACTTCCCCCATATTTTTGGTGACACTTGCAATCACTTCTGACCCACTCATTCCATAACAAATGACTAATCCCCTAGCATGCATGATCATCGTTATTATGAATGCATCATCATAATAATCATGACAGACTCAATCATCCATACTTGCAGATAATACATACATTCAAAAGACCACGATAACATCAGAACCTTTGTAGTTCTACACACACTCGCTTTAAATCTGAGAATTGAGCAAATTCAAATGTTTCATTCTTAGTGAGTTCCAGCTATATGGCGGCAGTCTGTAAATAATCGAGTCTGGACCAGACAATCCAGTGATCAACAGCATGAGCCTCGATCTGCACAACTGGGAACCGATGACATGTGTCAACCAAGTCAGCGAGCCTGACCACCCGATCCCGTTAGTCGCCTCTTACGACCAGCATAGTCGCCTTTTGTGGCAAGCATGGGTTGAAGACCTATTCTACCCCGGATCTTCACGGGACTGTTTCAATCTTACCACAGACATTTAGTGATAGTTTACCTGAAGTGCATATGGAATAGCCTCGAAAAGCTCCATGAGTTTTGTGTACCCGTAGTCGGCTACACGACACTGGCGGCCGAAATGATGGTGATATGCTGGTATGAACTTGGATACTGGCATTCTGCAGTTGGCGCTATGTTTGAGAAGATCTGTCACCTCACGGCTTATCTGTCCCAACTGGTGGGACAGGAGGGGGCTAGCTGTTGCTGATTGACGGCCAAACTCTGGAACAAGGCGTACATGTTACTTTCTCAAAATGTCTAACTTGACCTGTACTTGCAAATAAGCTGAACTGCTCAATTGGTCTTTAAGTAAACGGTTATAACCAGTTAATCTAAAATTAGTAAAGCGGTTGTCATGGCAATCTCACCTATAGCCTGGGGAGGCTGGTTCTCCATCCACTGCACCTTCTTGACACCCAGCCTGGACACTTGCACCTGTATGCCGGGCACACAGCTGATCAGATGCTCCAGGGGCAAGCCCTCCTTCACAGACACCAGGGCACTGAACTCAGCAGCATAACAGGCTGGGAAACTGGCAAAATGAATAGGAATATTAGTGTTATCTGTACAGTTTTACACTGCTTATAGCAATATTCCAGTAACATGGCAGGGGACACCGAAAAAGGGAATCATACATTGTACCAATGTGGGACATAGAAATACTACAAAGCTATGAACTTAATGACAACTGCTCATACAAGAGCTTCAAAAGGTGTATCTACTGACAAAACCTTTTTTTAAAAATATAAGAAAACAGACACATAACAAAATGTGCTGGGTGGAGGGGAGCAATGGAGGTGAACTGACAGTCTACACAGTAGATGAGAAACATCTATGAAGCAGGAAGTGCCTTATAAACTACAAATTAAACTTCAGAATCGGGTTTAGATAATTTTCTATGTCTGTTTCAGTCACCTCATGAGTGGCATGTGGCCATTGTGAGACTGCAGCATGGAGTGGACCTGGGCAGCAAGTGTCTTCAACTGAATGCGGACATTGGGCAACATGGATGAGTTCATGGCTTCTGCATAGAACACACTTCCCTCGGGGCAGTGACTGGCACACACAGGCTCCTCCAGAACCTCCTCCCCATCTGTGTCCGACGCCTCTAGCGGGGTTGGGGGTTTGGAAAGCACAGGTGCCAGATACACCATCCTACCTGCCCCACCCTGCTCACGGATGTCTAGTGTATCCCGCATCTTGTACAGCTCAGACACACTGATGGACTTGTGGTACCTGATGACAAATAATATATCAGCAATACAAAGGCTAACCTACGAGTAAGTTAAGGTTTATGCCGCTTTTAGTAATATTCCAGCAATATCACGGCAGGGGACTCCAGCAAAGAGCTTCACAAATTGTACCCATGTGGGGAATTGAACCCAGGTCATTGGCATGGCAAGCGATCACTTTAACCACTAGGCTACCGTACCGCCCAGGATAACCTATGATTGAAACTATATTTGATCACAAGAATTTCTTCAGAAGTAACTCACTTTCATTATCTAATTCCTTCCAAGAGGACATTCATAAACATGTACTTGCAACTCTGAGTCAAGATTTCAGTCAAGTAAACTATTTCAGAAAAGACTTGAACTACCCAAAAGGTTCACTGTCATTTGTTTACCTCTTGTCAAACAGTTCAATGAACTTGAAGAGTGGCAGCACATTGCCTTTAGATTCCTGCAGTAGTGCGATGGCTTCAGCCCGGATGTTTGCACTGGCTGTGTGGGCATCGTCTGTCTTCAGGCTGACCTGGATACGCTTGTAGCCAATTTTTTTTCTGTGAAACTGGGAGATGGCGAAACGTGCTTCCTCAATTGTGGGGACTTTAATCATGCCTATACAAGTGTTGTCCAACTGGGTCTTCACATGCACATTCAAAACCTGGAGAAAACAAAACATTCTTTTATTAGACTTCAATACTAATTCAAACCCTCAAAGAATCGGGAAACTTGCACTTGGTTCATCTTGGTTTACTGAAAGAGTTACTCCAAGTGCCACTAGATTCTGAATATTATTGCATCGTCTCATCGAATATTATTTTGTTGTGGCTTGTTGATATTTAAGGTTAATTTTGGTTTATTTATTACTTTCCTAGAACCTTTTATAGAACCAATACCCTTTCAACATGCATTTCTTAACCAGAACTCCAAGGATCAAAATTTGCTGAAGAAAAATGAAAAAACAATTCATGATTGTTAAACTTGTTTCAGTGTAATAAACTACCAACCTTGACGTGAGGATGGAAGGTTGTGAAGAGGATCTTTCTCCACTCCTTGGCACTGATGTTATAGTCGAGGTTTGTGACTACCAGCTCTACTGGACCCATCCCCTGGGGTGAGGATCCATCAGTGAGTGGGGAGCCTGGGGGAGATGCACCAGGCATGATGGGCTGGAAGCTGTTGCTGCTATTGATGTTGTTATGGAAGTTGTTGTGGTAGTTGTTTTGTTGATAGTTACAGTTGTTTTGGTTGGAGTTCATGTAGTTGTAACGTCGAGGGCTGTATGAACGGAAGTTTGGGCTCCCTCGGTGGAAGAACTCATTGTCCTGTGGTGGAGGCCATGAAGAGCCATATGGGTAATCCAGCTCATAGGGAACACTCTTCGGGCGATTTCCATAATGACCACTGCCATGTCGGACACGCTGAGGGTTGTGGTTAGGGCTGCCGCTCCCATAAGTGAAGCTGGAATTGTGGCTAAGGGCAGAATAGTAATGATAGTTCTCGGTGTGTTCATCAGAATGAGATCCACTAAGATGTCTTCTCTTGTAGCTCTGCATTTTGCCTTTCTCATCTCCTGACCAGTGCCCACTGCGCTGAGCGTATCTCTGGTTGTCCAGCTCAGCTGTATCTTCCATCTCATCCCCAGCATCCCCCTCCTGCTCCGCAGCCCCCATTCAGCTTGTGCTGACTCTCCTGGTAGCGTTGCTGCTGCAGCATCAACATCTCTCGACTTGGTCGCTTCCCGTTTGTGGAATAGTTTTCAGGCTGTTTGTCAGCGTCAAAATCTGATTGCCTATGGTTGGCCTCAGGGCTTGAGGTGTACCCACTGGCTACAGGTGCACTCAGACACCCTCGATATGGGGAGTTGTTGCGGAATGTCTGTCTGTCCCCGGATGGACTGCTGTGTCGATTATAATGTTTAGGGCTTCCAAAACCTGGCATCGAAAGTTTAGACCTCTTTGTATAACCTGGAAAATTAACAACATAAAAAGTGCATGAAGTTGAATATAAAGTACCTTTATATGGTATTAAATTCAGAATACTTAATCTTGTCATGATTATTTACATTTTTTACCACACTACCGATCACCTCTTAGCAGTATTGGGGCAGCGAGGTAGCCTAGTGGTTAAAGTGTTTACTCATCACATGAAGACATGGGTGTCATTTCCCACTTGAAGATTTTCAAGTCTGTCATACAAACCATGCAAGTCCAGAATGTGTGTTAAGTCCAGATTACCAGTTTAATGAAAGTCTCAGGGTTCTTTTTTATTGTATTCTATTAACAATTTAGAAACTGTTTTTAATGTAAATCACATTAATTTCAGAGACTACATGTTAGTCTAAAGTTTCCTTTTCCTGAAAATGCACAAAACAGAACATCCTACCATGTAGGTGATCATCAAGGGAAGGTAGGGAAACAATGTCAATTCTTACACACACTAGGGGCAGGGGCAGTGACTAAATATTAAGTAAAGAAACAAAACATACAAATTACCACTGCCCACGTCTTTAAAAGAGGCATCCATCATGAACACCATCATACACAGACAGAAGGCTAAATCAGATACCCTGCACACCAATTTCAGTAAACAGATGGATGGAACAAACTGTCCACACATCCATTACACATCTGTACTGGTATTTAGCCATGGACAAGAAGATCACAACATGTGAGGAAGTAATAGCCCAAGTAGTTCATCACTGACCTGTCTGGGGTGATCCTACAGTGCTGTCACCTGTGCTTGATGTAGCTGGTATCTGGGCAATAATCTTCTGGCCATACACATCCTCTCCATCCATTCTCTTCTGAGCTCTGAAATATCACCCAGCACTGTAACCCCAACCATACTGTGTGTAATTGTATGTGAGGTGGTTGCTAGCCCAGCCTGTTGAGCCTCTCAGCACACAAAGTCCCTGCAGCATGAGCTGCTCACTTCCCATGCCTGTACCAGCCTGAGCCAGACACTGGCCTTCACATGCTAATCAGTTACATAACACCACACAAGGCCCCAACCCCTCACTGTTCTAGTGGTGGGCTCACTTCACATTGATTCACTCAACATATTCTCCCATTTGTAAATTTTACTTTGTAACATTAATATGTATTACTCACATTAATGAAACTTGCTAGAACAGCTTAACATTATAATTTGCCAGTGTCAGTAACAGACATGCACCTTTCATCATTTGTGTTGTTATTTAGCAGTTTTGATGTATGTGAACATTATTAACTAATAAAATGCAAAATAATGCTACATAAGGATTTTGAAGCATTTTTACCACCACAAAATTAACTATTGACAGTTGAATACATAATTACATTTCTAACAATAATGTCTTGTGATGAAATGACATTTATTACATTGTGTAAACATAATTCCAATCCAAATTATTCTATGTTAAATATGTTCTGTGATAAACCATTGATCACAAACAGGTCTGGACAGTGACATAGGTCAATTTTACCTAGTGTTACACATATTGTTTAAACTGACCTGGGCTGCAGTACCCAACATGGAAAGCTTGTATACATGCAAACTGGTAATTCCCCAAGGAGATAGCCAGAAGTGAAAGGACATGGGTTTTTTAAGTAGTCTGCCATGACACTGAAGAAAATACTTGACATAGGTGGATCCAGGAATCTTTAAAGGTGGGGGGGTGTGTGGCTGGCTGAATGTTAAACAATGCACAATAAATAGCATTGAACTGGGTGAATGTACCAGATTCCCTCTATATATCAATGCTAGGGGTGACTAGTTTTACGCCGCACTCAGCAATATTCCAGCTATATGGCAGCGGTCTCATCTGAAGTCATTTCCCAAATGAATGCATAGTTTATATAAAACATAAACAAGTTGAAGTAGTTTCAGTCTCTTTTGATAACTGGCAAGAAACTTGAAACCCAGATCAAGTAAACAGTCGTGTTTGTTTAAGAGGTAACACTAACAGGGGTGGATAACTCTAAATCAAAGTGAACGAATCTGGTACTTTCTGTATTTTGCGTTGTGTATTTATCAACGAAAGTCATTTACTAAACTATTGGTAATCACACATACTACCGAGGCATCGATAGTTTATGGTTTCTACGATTGATTAATTGCTGTCGGAGACTCAACAATTGCAGTCCATCGACATTTCGATGCATCGTTACAGCCCTTCTCAATGCAATGATGACAGCTTTCAAATATTGGCTACATTTAATACATATGCTGAGTGTCTGTTCACCCAAAAAGTGTTAAGATATGCTTGATGTATATGATAGTCAAAGAAAGATGATTTGGGCTACTGACCTTAGAACATTAGTTTCTCTCAGAATCGGCCATGTTGGTTATCACATTCACCCAGTAATGTACAGTTATTTACTTCAATCGTAAAGTTTGAAAGACAAATTTTAACAAATATGGCACAGGAGTTTATATAAACTTTAAACAAAATCCAAGTCAAGTCACTGTGCAAATATTTCCAGCTAGATTTTCATCTTCAAGCTTACTGATTATCAAGCCACTGACAATACCACATATTGAATCTTTGGACCAAACTTCAGTTGTTGTCAGCAAATAGTCAATTCTGCTAACTGAGCAGCAGTGCCTGAGACAACTGTGCCCCAAGTTTTGTACCCCTGAGGTTACAGCACTCAGCTGTGAAGCCAGGCTACAGACCTCGGGATGAGATGAAGGTACTGACCTGAGAGCAACTTCATGGCTGCTGAACTTGAGCAAGGCATAGTCCTGGGTGATACTGGTGATACGCCCGCCACAGTTCTCAGACAGTTTCTTGAGTCGGGCTCTAAGCTTGTCAGTGTGCATGTGGGAGGGGAAGCCCCGGACTTCTACTTCTGAAAGTCCCTCAAATGTCTGTAAGTACACACATTCAAAATGGTTACTAGCAGTTAGCTGTAACAGTGGTAAGCAAAACAACTGAAACAGCTTTATCTTCACCTTTCATAGCTAATGGTCGGGGACACTGCCAGGTACAACAGCGTGTAGGATTAGACATTTCCACTTGATTCATATCACAAATGTGGTAAGTGAGATAATCTTGTTTCACATGCGAAAGGTTTTGTGCTTCCAGTTCACATATTCCATTAAGTTATTATTGTGGTGATTAAATTTGTATAACTCCTTATTCAAAATAGACATTATGTCACAGAGAAAAACATAATCTAAACAAAATTAGGAGAAACAATAATAAACCTAACCCATGCTTAAGTGCTTAATTTCAATTCCATATTAAATACCACTGCAACTGAAGAGTGCATAAAAGGGCTTTATCTTGTTGAATTAAGATGGTTTCCTTCTTCATGTACAACACTGTTTACCTTAGATGGTGATCGACAAGGAACACCCTCCACAAGCTCCTCGAAACAGTAGTGCTCGTTAGCACATGCAATGAGGGACTGGTGAGAGTGTGCACGATGGATGAGAATGACATGGAAATTTTTCCGGTGTCGGAGGTCAGAGAGGTCCATAGAAAAGTTGACATCACCTGAAAAACAAATCACAGAAAGTATAAACGTCTGGCCATTTTAGTCATCCTTTAAATCAAACTCGCAAATTCACTGCACTGCAGGTTTTCTTTTTCTTCTGTATCTGTGTGAATTAACAATTGATGACAGACCATATATGAAACCCTAAATAGGTCTACTTCTCCTTCTACACACAATTAAGTTGTATCAAGTCCCAGTGGAGACACACCTGTTGAGTTAGCGATTGAAAGAGTCTTGCACCACTTTTAGGAATATTCTAGCCATATCATGACAGTCAACACCAAAATAAGGCTTCAGGATGCCTTGACTTTACAATACCTAAGCTAATACCTTAGCAACTTGGCTACCCACCACCACTACATTGTGGGATATTGTGCTGCTACCTTGTGTACAGCTCTGTCAAGTCAGCAGTGGCCTACCTGAGATGAGAATAACTTTGGTGTGAGGCGGATGGGTGTCAGCAAACCGTCGTAGACTCTGTTTAATCTTGTCGTCGGCTGCATTCTTACTGCTGGCACTGATGTGTATAATATCTACCTGTAACACAACAGCATCTGTTTAGTAAAATGACATAAAAATCTGCCTGTACAGTACCACAACCTCATCAGTTCAAAAACATAGATCTCTGACTGCACAACAGCATCAGTTTATCTTGGTAATCAAATTAAAACAGCTGTGAAACATATATGACATCACTCTGGGATGTTAGGACTTCAGGACACAACAGATGGTGCCATATGCTTCTATAACAACTAAACAACCTGGGAGGTTTTCTAGTAAAAGTTTATTTAATACAATATGTATCATGACACAAAGGATGTGACTCATGTCACCATATGGATTGATATGTTTTGACTTTAGGACACAGGACTTTAACTAAGAAAAGTATTTATACACAGTCAACATGGTGGTTAAATAAGAATGCACTAGCGTCGAATTCAGTTATAAATGATTTTCAATCACAGTGTGTGCACACTCTAATCCATTTCACAACCGACTATGACCACAACTTGAGCAATATATCTGTTGTTACCTGCGCTGAGTTCAATTCTTCTATGATGTCCTTGCGCTCCTTTAAGATATCACAAACACACATGAACTCAGCCTCTCGATGTCCATGGAAGAAGCGGTCACGTATCCGCTGAACTACACTCAAGGCTGATTTCCATTTTGGGACTGGGCAGTTCTCTATGTCCCAGAACACCCCTATAGCAGGGGAATCTTCTCCCATCTTACAGCAGGCAGTGGCTACAAGAAATCAGTACACATGTAACCCACGGCCAATGACACATCTATCACAATAACCATGACAACACAGACCACATCGATTTCAGCAATTGATAACGATTTAGTGCAAGTAGAAATGGAGATATATAACACTTGATAACTGAGGATGGATGACACTACAATAGTGTCACAGTTGTTCATTTGTTCATCATAAACATATTTCACATTGTTGATCTGCAAATTACCACTGTTCCTTTTTAAACACTGATTATAACGTCCCATTAACCATTCCACTCACACATGGCATTCACTAACCATGCTAACATTCTTTCAGAATATTCACCACTATTTTTATGCATTTTCAATTAAATCTCATAACTGCTCTTGCTGTTGCTGAACAAAGATCTGAGAACATCCCACTACAGGTCAGGTCAGAACAACCTTTCACAAACTTTGACCAACCACTGAAATGACCAACACAAAGCCAATCAGAAAGCAACAGTCTCAAGTAATAAACCAGTAGTTTCAAAATGGCGACTTCCAGTCCATATTGGGAATAAGTTTGCCATTTAAAATGTGAAACCAGAACAAAAGAACATTCTGGAATGTATCAAATGACAGTACTTCCAATGGACTATGCAACATCTGTTCCATTAAAATGTTTTCTCTCACTGAAGCCAGAGGTAGATAATGATATTGAAGGAATCAGTTGCACAGATCTTGCGTACACGTTACGTCTCTGACTGATAACTGTTGTTCAGAATACCTGTGTTAATCATGTAAATCTTTCCAGGTTACATGATTAGAAAACACTCCCTGCAACTTGCCTCATCTTGTTAACAGTCCTCAGACTGGTTGGATGAAAGGTCACTCTGATGTGACCCATAATGAGATGTTCTCAGATCTTTGTTGGGTGGTTACAACAACTTAGTTGAGTTGCATATTGTAATGTTCATATCAAATATGCCAACCCTTACAATTGATGACTGGATGGTATCAAAACCTTCATATTATCATAACAGAAACCTGAATGATATAATGACCAGTTCTTGCACCACAATCCTGACAATGACACTGTTTCTGCAGGTGAGTACTACACACTGACACACTATGACAATGCACTACTTCATACTCGACAGATCATTCGTCACCAGCTATGTGACCTAACTCCCTTACCGCTTGAATATGTTGTATGTGAAGCAACAGATGTGAAAAGGTCCTGGTGAGCTGCAGCGGACCAGGTTGGACTGATATGAGATGGTTGCTTGGGGTTTGAAAACAGTTGAGTATCTTCATGCCAAACTACTTCCCTTCCCACCTCACTCCAATGCTTGCCTGCAACATAAAAGAATTCAGTTAATTGTCCAGGTCACAATTTCATGAAAACTGCAATAACAGTTTCATATGGTAAATATCAACCGTTTCTTAGTTTAGTCTTTTTAACAGTATGAAGCCAAAAGAAAAGTAGTGGTGAATCTATTTAACGGAAAGAAGTCCCCCCGTATCCCCGCTTAAATTTCATTCTAGTCAAATCATATCACCTGAATATACATTCCTCATCTGATAACAATGAGCTTTAACAGGTTTCTTCACTTTTATCTTAACATACTGAAAGACATATCCAACTTCAAAATGCCAACCAAATACATTTTTCCTCATTGTTAAAATTTAGGGGGATACGGGCGGAAGTCTTACCAAATTATCCAAAGAAAGAAAACAGTAGTTTAAAGAGAAAAATAAAACTCGGTTTACTTACTGCGAAGCACCGACGTCACATATGGATTTAAAATGTTCATTTTTTGTCATCTCTTTAAAAGTCTGCATTTGTACACAGATCTAAGCAAAAACGAGAGGCCTAAAATACAACTAATATATTCCAGAAACTCTTGATTACTGACAGATGACAATCTAAATTTTATATGTTAGTAACGATGTCGATCAATTTCATCATTCCGTCGTTTCTCGTTTCATTTTGTTGGGCAATTTGGCCTGCTCCAACACACGCTGTGAAGACTTGCCAACACAAGCACGGTTGGAAGTCTGTAAACGTTTATTATGCAAATAAAAGTTGTAAACATGCGTCTTATACGTCGATGTTAGAAGAAGCAAAGTCACAAACCTGTGGGTAAACTACATCCCGAACAGCTAACCAAAATCCATCATTCCATATATGCAACTTGTTTCTAGATGGAAGCCATTTTGAAGTGAATTACAACTTCCGGTTCGTCAAGGGGAGATAAGTTCCCCCCCCCCCCTAAATGAACTGAGAATCGTACTTGCGAAAAAGTAAATGATAAATCATCGCAAATCTATAACAGGCAGGCCGTTTAATTGTGATCATTTCAAGGACTGTGTATATATAAATATATCAATATTTGTATCTAGAATATATGGTCTTTGATATCTAGATGTATGTATCAGTACACCTAAATGAATGTGTTTCTGAAAAAATGTCATCGTAGTCTTGTAAAATATTGTCCATTAAGTTTTTTACCATCTTGGGGTTTTCACGTTGCTCCAACTGACTTATACGGCCAGACACACAACTGTCTATTTCTGTAGATTATCTTCAGTGGAACAGTAAGACATGTATATAATATATACATGTATACGCCTGGAAAATCTGGTTAGACATATATTTACTTTTAAACAAGTTATGTTGTATACATACCCTTTCTCAATATTACAAATTCCTGAAATGTCTATTCATTCTCAACGATGTTACCAAAAATATTGCATAGTGTGAGATCTATAAATAGATCAAACACACAGGTGCACGTCATATATCATTGTCGGACTATGAATAATGTGGCATAGACTGGTGTGCTTTAGGGTTCTACAGTTTGTATATAAATATATCTCGGTTACATGAGGCTTGGGAAGTGACGACATAAGAGCTACTGTCTATAACAAATTGTGTACATAACACTTATGTACACACTTACTTGGTAATGAGTCTGATTATTCCAGTAATTTACAAGCTATTTAACCGGAGTACAATGCGCACCTGTTGTGATACAGCTACTGGGTTTGGACAACACACTGTCCGGTTCTATCAATAGGCGAAGGGATCACCCTAATTACCTAGCTGTGTATGCCGGTTTAACCCCCGTGTCGTTTATGGGTGTTTGTTTGGTGGACGCACTACTCATGTGTCACTGGTGTGAAGAACGCAATGGACGTGCCACCGCAGTGTGATCATGCAATCAATTTCTGGACCCATATGTAGCAAAAAATCTATAAATGTAGTTAGAATGAAACAAGACGCCTGTCGACAAATCAAGTGCGGATTGAAGGTGGACGTGCTTCATTTCTGAGTCCTAATTATTAGTATCGACTGCAAGCAGGCAGTATGTTGATACTTTGTTTTATCTTCCTAATTACGATCTAAAAAGACGGACACTGCGGTCTCGCGCCGAATGTCAGCCAGCAGGGTGACTTATATATACGTTGTGCCAATATAAACTCAAATTATGGGATGTACATGAGTCACTCAAATTTATTGGTTTGGGTTTGTTTGTTGTTTAACGCCGCGTGCAGCGTTATGCCAACTATAGCGCGGCGGTCTGTAAACAATTGAGTCTGGATCAGATAATCCAGTGATCAACAACATGAGCATCGACGGATACGACGACATGTGTCAACGAGGTCAGCGAGCCTGACCACCCGATCCCGTTAGTCGACTCTTACAAGGATGGGTTGTTGAAGACCAAACTTAAACCAGATCTTCACGGATCCTATCAATCAAAGCTAAACTTAACCACTCTGAGACGATATTACAGGGTTGTCGTGGTGGATCTTACGGGGTTTTATCACTAACATAACTTGACCGATACAGACATAATCTGTGTATGATGATCAGGGATACCCGATGGTGTAATTCTGTGTCTACAGCACAATAAGTGAGAAATATGAAGTACATATTTATCGAAATTCCCAAGAAACCTAAGCAACAAAACTTCATGAACTACCGGGCAAAAGAAAGTTATACCTTTAAAAGTAGTTGTAAAAAAAAAAAAAAAAATGCTGTTACAGGTTTGAACCCAAGCAGAAAACATTCGCCAAAACGCAACATGGTCCCGATAACAGCGCAGTTGTCCAAAACTTCGTACAAAACATTGGTCTAAATGTACGTGCATGATTGTGGCATTGATACCGATATTGGATAGAGCAAGCATGCAATAACAAACCCCATTGAACATCTGTGAGATCATCTTGATCGTCACCTCAGACAGTGTGTACCACCTCCAGTGAACCGACAGGAACTTGAACAGACTTTTCTCCAAATTATTGGAAAATGATTTCTGTTTGTAAAATAATTGAAGTGAATATAAGTGATGTTGGTGATAACTTTCTTTTGCCCGGTAGTTTATATTGACTATTAAAACGCAACACAAAGAGTTCATGGAAACCTTAAATCATAAGTATACTACTGGAATAAAGTAACTGTGCATTTATTGATGTTGTGCCATTTTTCAATGCAAAAAGATAATAAGATGATTTATGGTGTTTTCCTTAATCACTGTTTAACTGGTGACATGATAATATCGAAATCTGTATGATTTGACACCAGGCATCGTGACACCCCTTTGAACAGATGTGGTGTCAACATTCTGTTCACAAATTCAGTATGTGTGTGTACAATATTGGCGTTTTTTATTTATTTATTTGCTTTATTTATTCCAGCAAATCAGGTTACAAGCAGGGGTGAAATTATTGACAATGGATGCATAGGCGGATCCAGAGGGGGTGGGGTGGGGTGGGGTGCAGGGTCCCCCTTGTGCTGAAAATTTGTTAAATGACCATTGAAACTCGGGTGAAAATGAAGTGTGCACCCTCCTTTTCTCAATAGTGTGCCCCCACCCACCCACCCCTTTCTCAAAAATCTGTATGCGCCCCTGGGATACAAATGTGTAGCGAGTGAGCAACAGTTCTGAGTTCAAACAAACAACGACAATGTTCACATACAATTGGGTGTTAACACAGTAGACCTTACACAAAGGGTTAAGTTGCGATTGACTAACAAATCACTGTCAAAGTGTATATATACTGTTACAAGGTTATGCCCCCCCGGTATACCGGTATATGGTCTCTGCTGTCGGTGATGTTGGAGCAACATTGGGTGTCTTGCAGGCCGCCGGGATCGGATGTTGTGCTCCCTCAGTCGGTTCCGTACAGTCCTGGAACTGATTGGACGTAAGGCAGGAATGGTCCGTGCAGTCAAACTGGCTGTCTGGAATCGATTCCATAGATGGGTCAGCCGAATGTGGTTGTCTTGCTGACGTGACGACACGCGTGGACGTGCCTGTCTGAGGCAAATCTCTCGTGTTTCCATTATGTTAAAAACGCCTCCATATAGAGATGGAATCCTGTTTTGATGGACACCAAAATGTCTGGCCACTTCATTTTGGGCCATTCCAGTCTCCAGCATACCCACGGCGCGGAGACGTTCATTTTCTGTAAGCCGTGGCATGACCTACACACAGTTTAGGTTTAAAATTACTGTGTTTTCCACAACTTTCAGAGGCTAGAGAATAACCAAGAGTTCTTCAATTTTCAATATCAGGTGTGTGAACTTCAGGTGTCAAAAAGCATGCAAAAAGTGAGTAAGTTCATTGTGCACAAAGTGCATGTGTCACGCGAGATACGTGACATCAAATTTCATCCAAAGTGCTTTGCTTCATGATAATTTAGGGATATTTTTATAACTTTTCAAATAACTTTTTGCAATTTTATGTTATGCTGTTACTTTTTCGCATTACTTTATCCCATTAGTATATATGCAGAGGCAACTTGACTGTTTGAAACTGTGGAGCCACAAACATGCCGAATTGTAGGTCCACCAAAATGAAGGCAGCGTCTGTAAAATCTACATTAGCAGCACATTCCTGCAGCCCCTGTCTTTCGATAAGACATTCATTCTGGGTTTACTTGCCTGTACTTTGCTGTTTTACGTGATAGTTTTAGGCTACTGCACATGATCCTACGTTGTAAGATTATGTGTTTGATTCGTTGTCCTTGGACGTTTGTCAGTTTAAGTTACACGAAACCCGTCAGGATCCTTATAACTTTTGTGAGCATGACTTGGCATAAGAAATGGAAACGATATTAAACCTGTAAAATACCCTTACTGGTGAGCCTCACTCGCCATCACGCTCAACCAAAATGGAAGAGACGCTAGCAATCAAGACTTCAGGTATGCGCGTATCTCTTATAATTAGTAACTTCTAGCAAGGCTGGTGTGAGCGGAATAAAGTTGCACGTACTTGACAATTCTTAATCGAATGATGTATATGGCGAATAACAAATTAATTATATTTTGTCAGCCACTTTTTAAAACCTTTTTAACTAGATCCATGAAGAAAATATCAGCCTTGCAGCTTGATCTTACATTTTGACACCTTTTATATTTTAACACGGCAAGTGCGTATTTTCATATGCCAAGGTAATGTTTTGTAAAACATTGTTGAAATCGTATTACATTGTTTCTGTTTAGGTTCAGTAGAGGTTCTTGATACTGTATTTTGACAATAATCATTGTAAGATGTTTGGAATGCCTTTTCTCTAAGCAGTGGTGTCAAAGTTACTATATTTAGTTATTTTCGGAGTCAAGAGTAATATGAATCTCCATGAAAAGCATAAACTAATCCATGCTAGTATGAAACGTTCTGGAAGTGTCTGAAACTATTTATGGGGACAAGCGCATGTGCCATATTACAGCGGTTGTGTCAAGATAATATTTTTACACTGGGTATGTTCTAATTAACCTGCCAACAGGTTACAGGTCGGCTTTGCCAAGTTTAGGTGTGGTGTGGCCCCAATTAAATTTGAAACCGAATGATATGAAGGCATCCTTGTACAAAATAGAAATTGTTTTTATTTGAAAGATTGTGCAGAAGATGAGGTTCATGTTTTGTTTCACGGCGTATTATATGACGAGATCAGGAAAACTCTTTTTAATGAATGCATTGTTAAATCTTGATGTTTTTTAGATATGCCTGATATTGAGACTTTGTTCATGTTTATTGATGCTAATGTCTGTTTTTTTATTTGCAAAATTATACTATTTAATATTTAATCGTAGAAAGCATCTTTTGTATGGATAATATATATTTTTTATGGTATTTTACTGTTGTGGTATCATTTTATGGCAACTTGTCTTTCATAATGCTAAGAATAGTTCTGTACGACAGGTTAGCTATTCTCGAAACGTTCGTAGCCCTACGAACTTCTTAAGCCCATTCTTAACACACTGGCTACGATCAAAGTTAAGATTTCTTAGGGCTAAGAACGTTTCGTTTTGAGTTTATACATAAGGGATTGTTGTATGAGCGGGACGTAAGTGATTGTTGTAATTGTGGTACGTATGTTGTGCCCTTAGACGCACAATGGTCTTAAGTGCACAGAAATCATGAATATTCATGAGTGGGAGGGGCTTATGTCACTACGTCACATACACGGGATTATCGTAGGAGTGGGACGTAAGTGATTGTTGTGGGAGCGGGACGTAAGTGATTGTTGTAATTTTGGGACGTACGTGATTGTTGTAATTGTGGGACGTAAGGGATTGTTGTGGGAACGGGACGTAAGCGATTGTTGTAATTGACGGACGTAAGTGATTGTTGTGGGAGCGGGGCGTAAAAGATTGTTGTAATTGTGGGACGTAAGGGATTGTTGTAGGAGTGGGACGTAAGTGATTGTTGTAATTGTGAGACGTAAGTGATTGTTGTTGGAGCGGGACGTAAGTGATTGTTGTAGGAGCGGGACGTAAGAGATTGTTGTAGGAGCGGGACGTAAGTGATTGTTGTAGGAGCTGGACGTAAGTGATTGTTGTAATTGTTGGACGTAAGGGATTGTTGTAGGAGCGGAGCGTAAGAGATTGTAGTAGGAGCGGGACGTAAGTGATTGTTGTAGGAGTGGGACGTAAGGGATTGTTGTAGGAGCAGGACGTAAGGGATTGTTGTAGGAGCAGGACGTAAGTGATTGTTGTAGGAGCGGGACGTAAGTGAATGCTATAATAGAGTGACGTAAGTGATTGTGTTAGGAGCGGGACGTAAGTGAATGCTATAATAGTGTGACGTAAGTGATTGTGTTAGGAGCGGAACGTAAGTTACTGATGTAATTGTGGGACGTAAGTGATTGCTATAATAGCGGGACGTAAGTGATTGCTATAATAATGGGACCTAAGTGATTGTTGTTGGAGCGGGACGAAAGTTACTGGTGTAATTGTGGGACGTAAGTGATTGTTGTAGAAGCGGGACGTAAGTGATTGTAACATTAAAAGCCACCTAAGTGATTTGCGTGGGTAAAATAATTATGAACAGATTAAGTTATCGATAATTTGGCATGTGGCAAATCAGAGTTCCCAAGCAAGATACCTGGTGTCCTCCAGGATACTACTTGGTTGACACGTGTCATCGTTTCCCAATTTCGTAGATCGATGCTCACTGGATTGTCTGGTCCAGACTCGATTGTTTACAGACCGCCGCCATATAGCTGGAATATTGCTGAGTGCGGCAAAAACCTAAACTCACTCACTCACCAGGATACTGAGTATCAGACTTAACAACATACAACAAATTCAACATGAATATGTCAACAGATTTATTCAGTCTAACATGATGCAATCATAAAGACTAGCTGTAGCCTTGTAATATAAAAATATAATCTGGATGTGGCTAGGTCACAGTTCAGCTTTCAGGTCAGAGGTCACATGACTTGATCATGTGATCCAATCCAATCACAATGTTGTCATTAGAAGTGTTTCACAGTCTCCTGTGTGGCCTACCTAGCAACATCTGCATGCATGTGTCTCCCTGTTTCATGAAAGGGAAGCAGTCCTTAAACCATAACTCCTACTTGGAAGAAGATACCACCATACCAGAGACAAACATGAGTCCCGACATTCCCAACAAACATAGTGAAGGACACCACCCACATAATGCTGAGAGTATCTGTACACCTGTATCAACTGACTAACTAGATTGCATAGGTTCCTACAATACAGTGGGACAGTGCTCAGTTGGTTCCCCTCAACACTACACACTAGACTGTCAGATAATACAGCCAGGATATGTGTAATACAGACCTCAAGAATGTTAGTGGTTTCTACCTAAAGTTGCATGCGGAATCTTAATATCATTTCCTGAATGATTCACTTAGAAAGAATATACTGAAATTTCTCATCTGAATCTTCAAAACAACGAACTGTTTAAAAACCAGTGAATTAACATTATAATACAAGATGGAATGTATACTTCAGTAGATTACACATGAATGTGTGGATATGTTGATATGTGTTATGTAATTGCTAGATGAACACTTAGGTAAATATTTAAAAATAATGAATATTTAGGTAAATATAAATCTATGGTTAGTTATGTAAATATCAGGATATGAATCTGATCTCATTCTACCAGGATATGACAACTGAGCTGAGAGTTACATGAACAATTGCCAAAATGGTATACTATTTCTTGTTTATTCTTTGATACATGGTACTTATGTAAATCATAACACAGCACTAACACAGGAACTATTTTTCCACAGCTGCATAATTACTGTGCTCTGCTATAACCCCAGAGAAATTACTCTACAGCCTGCATAAATTCATAACACTGCATGTATTATTCCACAGCTGTATAATCATTACACTCTAACACTGCATGTATTATTCCACAGCTGTATAATCACTACTCTCTAACACTGCATGTATTATTCCACAGCTGTATAATCACTACACTCCAGTGTAACACTGTTGAGGGATGTGAAACACTTCTACTTGTGAGGCATACCCTAGTCTAGGTGAGGGGAAGGAAGAGAGAATGGAAGTTTAGATTGTCTTACAAATGAACTGTTTCATCTACAAATACCCTGTAATAAGGACTATTCTATATAAGCTACCTATGTTTAAGAGAAGATACTACTGATGATGTAATAAGGTAAATATAGATATAAGGTAGCACAGATATAGACTGTGCCATGTAGGATAGAATGATGATGCAAAAATGGTCACCTAAGTTTGCACTGTTAGGAAATAAAATCAAAATCTTTAACTAGATATGGATTGTTGGAGAATTATGGCATCATGTTACCTAAGTATATCACACTGGTATGCATTGTTAGAGAAATCATTACAGAATGGCCACCTACGTATGGATTGTCATGAGAGTGATAACAAAGCGCCAACTCAAACCTAAAACGTAACGCCTCATCATATAAAATGTTTATCCTTCAATCAGTCGCTGCCACAAGTCCAAAGAAAGCGAGAAATTGTAATAAGAATTACAATAAATGAGAATCAAGAACATTATTCAAATAATGTTGTGTTTATTAATTTTGTTTTCTCAACTGACCGAACCATGTTAGAATTTGGTGGCTACATGAAACACATAAAAAAATGATGCCCTTATGAGAACAGAGTGGTCACCTTCTTGTGGATTGTTGGAGCAGGATGCCAAGATGATCACCAAAGTGTGGACTGTTATAAGAATGATACCAAGATGGTCATCTGGGTATTGGACTGTTATAAGAATGATACCAAGATGGTCACCTGGGTATTGGATTGTTAAAAGAATGATACCAAGATTGTGATCTTGGACAATAATGTCAATATGGTCATCTTGGTATGGATTTCCACAGAATGATGCGATATTTGCCACCTAGGTCAGAATGTTTGAGATTGATGCCAAATGTTCATCTAGATATTGATTACTACAGAATGCTGGAAAAGATAGGCATGGATAGAACTGGAACACGATGTATAGGTGTTGAAGATTATGCTGAGGTCAACCTAGGTATAGGAGGTGTCTAATGTCCATGATCACACAGTATGTACACCATGACACTATGATAGAGTATACAGCTCCCTAAGGTTCAGATGCAATCTATAGTTGATGTTTATAATTTGGATGATTCTTATATTCAATACTACACCAAACTGATAACTTATTACTGGCCCAGAAAGGATTTCAGATGTAGATATTCCTCAGATTGGTGATTTCTCTTGTCCCAACTGGTTCCTTCCTTCTTAATATCACAATATGATTTGACTTGTGTCAATACCAAAATGTTTTGGGAATCAAATATCCATTAATGGTAAAGCGGATAAGGCCAGTTCCAGTTAAAAAAAAGCATAAAGGAAGAACCTCACTGATTGTAGCAAATATGTAACATGGTATTCTTAGACCAGTTTGTTTCATTTTGATTTCTGAATATCTATCTGTATTGAAATTCCTGAAAAATGGGTCTTTTTTAAGTCTGTATTTTGACGCATATTGCATCAAAAGCGTGAGGTCATCAGGACACATACTGTATCAGGAGATTAGTGTATCGTGTTCAGGAAGCAGGTACATTATGACATTACTTAATTCTTGCATGGCAATTAATTGTTAGAGTGATGATAAATCCAGATCTTGTTATGCATGCAAGGCAAAAAGAAAGATCTCAACATACAGTTAACTGCATTGATAATGACCACGCTTATAACAAACTGGGTATAACAAACTGATTTTTTGGTCTTGTCCACTTACTGTATGTTTTAGTTGAAATGTGTATAACAAACTGCAGTTACAGTGAACTAAATTTAGTCCCTTTGAGTTCATTATAGCTGTAGTTTACTGTAATAAGATATGCAGCTTAGTGTTGCTCTCTGAACTTGTAAACAGACATACCGAAATGTCTTGACCCTTGAGAGTCACAATGTTTCACCAACCAAACAGATGAGGTAAATGTTACAACAGTAAGATACACCAGCACCCCAGACTGTCACAATGTTAACAGCAACATAACACACAAACCAATATCTAAAAGTGTTTATACAACTTATTAAATCATATCCATGAGAAATTGCATCTGGATTCAGAAGTAAAAACACTGAAACGAAAACTTCCCTAACACCTGTGTCAACTATGCAGCATGGCATATCATCATGCAACAACTTACAGCTAGGCCATGTCAGTACATGCACACACAGTAGATGTGGTTGTATATATCAGTATATATCAGCGTATGTGATATAAGCATACACACATACACATATCACAACATGGCATATATGTATACTTGCATATGTTTACTCTGCTATTAACATATGCACGTACATACACGTATATGATAATTTTTCATACATGAATATCGATGTATAAAAAATGATCATATAAATGTATATCTGTATATGTGCACACTGATTTTTGTATACACATATCAGTATATCCTACATATGTATATCAGCATGTGTACACGGATATCTTAAGTTGCTCAATGGTCACAGGGGGATATGGGTTGACGCACCCTTTGTGTTTGTTTATGTTAAATAACATAAATAAACATAAAGGGTACATCGACCCAAGGGCCCAGAGGGACCAGTGAACAATGTATTTATCTTTCCGAACACCTGAATGTTAATTTTGAACTGTTTGAAGCATGGGTATCGGATCATAATAAGGAATGCCAGAGTTAGGCAATTAGCCAATACTAGAGTTTCAGATGACATAGAATCCAGCAGACAAGAAAAACAAATTTTGAGTTATCTCCCTTCCATGGATTTGCATTCGGAAAACATCGGTAATTTCCATACATCATACGTAAATCAATTATTCGAAATAAAGAATTATATGAAGTGCCAAATGAATTCCCACAGTTCGGCATTCCCAGCGAATAACATAGAAAATGTTACTTGCTTGTAAGTGCGGTGAATTGAAAATAATAGAAAAGCACTCAGCCAAACGACATTTATGTGTGAGGTAAGATAACTGATACTACACTGATACAGAATGAGTCACTCCATGTTGACAGTATTTTAAAAACAAACAGAAATAAATCATGTTTAATCGTAAGTCATGTTTCAGCTAATCAAACTAAGAAATAGGATGGCTTTCATACATCGAGACTAATGTTTTCACTTTGCAAAACAGTGGGACAACATGTATAACATGTGACCATCATTCTGCATGCCCATTACAAGCTGTACCCATGGAGATATGCTCATATAACAAATAACAACATCTTGTATGGATGGAAATTACTGGCATGTAAATTCCATCTTATAAACACCAAAGTTTGTCACAGGTTGAAAAGGTGAAACAATATTATCAGCATAAGTAATTTTCATCGCCAATCCAAGGATCTGATATTGACATTCTGCAGATCTTACCATGTCTAACCATTTGTCTACAATGCGGAGAGTTGTTGCATGTAGTAAAACAGGAGCCTTGCCATCAAATCTGTATCACAATAAATATCATTAACAACAATATCACAGGAAAAATAATATCAGATATGATAAACATTTTACATCATTTATAACAAACACTATACTGATATATTTAATCAGCATGTCATATCCAAGCTGGTCTGGCACACTTGAGAATGCTGTCAATATTCAAGCTTTCTATGCTACGTTCATTCTAATCAAAGCACTACCATGCAGATCTTTCAAACCCATATCTAATACAAATAAGAGAGAAAGCAATTCCTCTGTGTGGAGTAGGCAGTACTTGTTATTTTTTCAAGTCTGGATGTCAGCAAACATATACAACCTTCTGAATTAGTACTGAAGTTTCTTCAAAGGTTGTGCTGCAATTTCATAACATTTATCCAAGTGCACCATCATCCTTAGAATGATGATCTTTCTCTATGTCAAAATGTTAATATGTGTGTGTGTGTGTGTGTGTGTGTGTGTGTGTGTGTGTGTGTGTGTGTGTGTGTGTGTGTGTGTGTGTGTGTTTTTACAATTCTTCTCAACTGACATCAACTTTTAAAATGCTCTGTTAGCAATCAGGCTTGCGTAATAGTCTTTCAAAATCAGAACTCTGTCAAACCTGCAACATCTTACCTAACATATTTTCTTTGTTTTCCTAATACTAAAGCTTTTAATAATGTACATATATTTATTACAATTCACATGATTTATTCATATTCCAATGTAATACTTCGTTAGGAAATACCCATAACACTGGTAATTTGATGTACGTTGACAGTCACAGGTCAATGTGACTTGGTCAGTCAGTCAGTCAAGATACCAGTACTGTGACAAGGTAACTGGTAACAGTAATATCTAAGCCTGAGTTTGTCGTCCTGCTAATACTGATTATGACATCCATGGGAGAACCTGATTTGTAGAAAAGAACCAACACATGTACATTTGCAAATACACGTACATGGCTTTAAAAGTGTTTACTAATGTTTGATACTTTGCTAGCAAAATCTAAATATCTTAAAAGGTCTATAATATCTGTAGCCCCCAAAGAAATGTCTTCTTCAGGCTGTCATTACTTGTACACTACACTCAACTTGATGAGCAACCTAAGAATCACTGGAAAAAAGGGAGACCACTCTAAATGCTGTTCAGTATGGGAGATAACTCTGTATGTGAGATGGAAGGGAACATATTTGTCAACATGTTGGAAGCAGAAAGCAGTGAAACAATAATAATAATTAGAACCCAAACTCCTAATGATCTTTAATTATATATCAATGAAACATGTATATTGTCATGGTGACTGTTGATCCTGTAAAATGTTTTAAAAACATTACATTTGTCACTGCTTGTGGTTGATGATGGAATCTTGAACAATGCTCTATGTAGGAGTTGGGGAGTTTGGCAGATTTGGTATGTTTACCAGACATGTGACATGGAGAAACACACAGAATTTCTGCAATCTCATAAGCAAAGAGAAATATCTGCTGTTGTTTGGACAACTGAGGATGTGTATATCATATCAGTATTGAACAGTTAAAAATGGAACTTATCAACAAAATAACAACTATTTCAAAATACTACAGTAATGTCAAGGGATTTATCTCGACCTGTTCACAGGCTGATATTCAATCACAAGTCTGCAGCAATCTAATCATACATTTCTCAGAATTTACGTACATAAGAACATAACACATTCAAATTTTAGACAATTATCACAATATTTTCCCCAATTTCCCAGCCACAAGCACTTGGTTTGAAATTGTAGATAAACCCCTGACATACAGTTGTGGAATGTAAGCCCTGACATACAGTTTTGGAATGTACCGGTATCCACAAACACCCAGATCCTCCCAGTGAATGGCAACAGCCCTTATACTTTACGGTAATTGTCATCTTTAGTTACCTCGCCTACTATCTAAATTGTCCAGACGAAAAGAAATCATATCAATGAGCTTATGAAAATGCTTTGAGATCAGCAACTCTCACAGTGAACGGAATTTTTCCCAGCATACACCTACATCAGTGTAACAAGTTTCTCCTCATACATGTTCATCAGTCAATCTACATCCCGTGATTACCTATCGGTATTAACACAACACCCACTTCATAGCCAGGGTTCTGTCTTGTCCAACATCCAATACATCTTACCAGAGATCAAGGACTGGCTATACATGCAGATTTACAAAACTTTCATAACATTATGATAGAGAAGAATTCCTCCTTATACTTGATTGTATCCAGGCACACAGCAGGCTTGGCTACCATGTGACAACATGCAAGGCAGATCATGTGATGCAACTGACCCCTCTCATGTGACATGGCAGATCATGTGACGTGTGTACCCTGTCATGTGACTGCATAATGTAGTGCTGCTGATGGCGTGAGAAGGCATGAGGAGATGGGTGAAGTCTGTACATGATGCTGTGATGATGATGATGATGATGATGATGATGATGATGATGTTGATGATGATGGGCATGATGGTGGATAGTGATCTAGAAGGTAGCGTCCCAGCCTGAGTTTTCATCTGGTGGAATGTCCATGTCGGCGGGGTAATTATCGAAGTTGCTGAAGTCAGCCGGACCTTTGATCTGCAACATGACATATAGGAGGCTAGAGGCACCAATACATAACTGTATACACACAGGATATAACTGCAACCATACAGGATGTAACTGTATACATACTTACAGCATATTACTGTATACTTACAGGATATAACATAAATATACAGGATAGAACTATATACACACTGGCCATAACCATATACATACAGAATATAACCATACGATACAGGATATATCTGTGGACACTCAGTATACATACAGAATATAACCATACAATACAGGATATATCTGTGGACACTCAGTATACATACAGAATATAACCATACAATACAGGATATATCTGTAGACACTCAGTATACATACAGAATATAACCATACGATACAAGATATATCTGTGGACACTCAGTATACATACAGAATATAACCATACGATACAAGATATATCTGTGGACACTCAGTATACATACAGAATATAACCATACAATACAGGATATATCTGTGGACACTCAGTATACATACAGAATATAACCATACAGGATATATCTGTGGACACTCAGTATACATACAGAATATAACCATACGATACAGGATATATCTGTGGACACTCAGTATACATACAGGATGTAACTCTCGATACAGGATATTAACATACACAAACAGGATATTGCTGTATACAAACATGATATAACCATGTACATACAGATATTAATGTATGCACACATTATAAAACTGTATGTATACAGCATGAACAACATCAGTTAGAACTAGATCAGAAAGTACATAACGCCTAACAGTACCTCATTCCTGTGACTGCCTACATCTTTATTCATAACTGTTTTTGCTGCATTTTTTAAGAAGATTCACTCTTTGCTGAATATCACTGTCATCAAAAATACATTAATTATGATATGGAGATGGAAACAACCAAAAACACTCCTGTCTCTGTGCTTCCCTTGACCTGATGGGTAGACCTCAATCTTTACCAAGCAAAATGGATTTAGTTTTATATGGATGTACCATACAAACTCATATTTGTATAAACCACTGGGACTTGGGACTTGTTCTAAAGCGTCAGTTATGTAGAATAAAGAACTGACTAATAAGCTGCTGCCTGACTGGTGCCAACTTAGAAGGGTGTACAAGGAGAAGATGACTGAGAGCAGTGGTGATCATCAGATAAATCTGGATTCAATAAAAGTCACCAGTTGACTACTTGACACAAAATGGTCAATGAGTTATGCACCTTTGATTGTAACTTAAGTCCAATTTGTTGGCATCGACATGGGGGGGAGATTCCATAAATCCTAAATAGTAAAAGGTACTAAAAGAGCTAAACTGACATAACTTCAAAGTGCTGATAATTATTAATACTCCTTCAGTTAAGTTCCAGAAAGTAAATGTAACGAATGGCAGACTGGATGAAGCGCAAACATTCCCATATTCCCTTCCATAATAAAGTGTAAGAAGAAAACACATTCTAAGCTGGAGTGTTAAGTATTGTCCCACACCTTCCTTGCAACACCTCACCTTGGGAAGAATTGGGGGCACCATTGTGTGTTTGCTCAAACCATCCCAGTCGAAGCCTTGGAACCACCTGCAAGGAACGGAAGCAGATCATTACTTGCGTGCATCTGATGAAAATGAACATCTAACTAAAATGGAAACATATTCAAGATTTAGGACACAATCTGAGGGCTTTCTTTCGTAGCGGTGGGGTAGCCTAATGGTTAAAGCGTTGGCTCATCACGCTGAAAACCCGGGTTTTAACATGCTGAAATCTTCAAAGCGTCTCTGTGACCTTGAAAATTAAGTGAAGGTCACCAAAATCGACTGGGCCCTGCGCCTTTCCTAGATAAAGCTTGGGGCTGAATATGAAGAAAATCCAGGTATCGGTTCTTGAGATAGCTTAACATGCAGGTTAACATGCTGAAAACTTCAAAGTGTCGTCATGACCTTGAAAATTATGTGAAGGTCACCAAAATCGACTGGCCTCGCGCCTTCCCTAGATAAAGGTTGGTATTGAATATGAAGAAAAATCCAGTGTTATAGACTCTCATAATTCATCATATTGTTGTAGACTGTCATAATTCATCATATTGTTATAGACTGTCATAATTCATCATATTGTTATAGACTGTCATAATTCATCATATTGTTATACTGTCATAATTCATGACATTGTTATAGACTGTCATAATTCATCATATTGTTATAGACTCTGTCATAATTCATCATGTTGTTGTTGAGTCAACACCATAATTCATCATAATGTTATAGACTGTCATAATTCATCATAATGTTATAGACTCTGTCATAATTCATCATATTGTTATACTCTGTCATAATTCATCATATTGTTATAGACTGTCATAATTCATCATATTGTTATAGACTCTGTCATAATTCATCACATTGTTATAGACTCTGTCATAATTCATCATATTGTTATAGACTCTGTCATAATTCATCATGTTGTTATAGACTCTGTCATAATTCATCATATTGTTATAGACTCTGTCATAATTCATCATATTGTTATAGACTGTCATAATTCATCACATTGTTATAGACTGTCATAATTCATCATATTGTTATAGACTCTGTCATAATTCATCATATTGTTATAGACTCTGTCATAATTCATCATGTTGTTATAGACTCTGTCATAATTCATCATATTGTTGTTGAGTCAACACCATAATTCATCATACTGTTATAGACTGTCATAATTCATCATATTGTTGTTGAGTCAACACCATAATTCATCATATTGTTATAGACTGTCATAATTCATCATATTGTTGTCGACTCAACACCATAATTCATCATATTGTTATAGACTGTCATAATTCATCATATTGTTGTTGAGTCAACACCATAATTCATCATATTGTTATAGACTGTCATAATTCATCATATTGTTGTTGAGTCAACACCATAATTCATCATATTGTTATAGACTGTCATAATTCATCATATTGTTGTCGACTCAACACCATAATTCATCATATTGTTATAGACTGTCATAATTCATCATATTGTTGTTGAGTCAACACCATAATTCATCATATTGTTATAGACTGTCATAATTCATCATATTGTTGTTGAGTCAACACCATAATTCATCATACTGTTATAGACTCTCTGTCATAATTCATCATGTTCTTATAGACTCTCTGTCATAATTCATCATATTGTTATAGACTCTGTCATAATTCATCATGTTGTTACATACTCTGTCATAATTCATCATATTGTTATAGACTGTCATAATTCATTATATTGTTATAGATTCTCTGTCATATTTCATCATATTGTTGTCGACTCAACACCATAATTCATCATATTGTTATAGACTGTCATAATTCATTATATCTATATAACCTCACTGTTATAATTCATCATATCTGTATAGACTGACTGGTATGATTGATCATATACTTGTAGCCTGACTGCCATAATTGATAACATCAATACAGAATCTGTATATTGATTCAGCACCAGATACCAATACACACATCCATGTCTTACATCTTCATCGGTAGCATCAGTAGACAAACATCTGATCCTACTACTGAGAAACCAGAGTACATCTGATTGTGAAAGGATGTGCATGACCTTAGCAACTCACTTGTGTTTCTTAATCTCCATTATTCCATTTTTGCCGTAACCAAGTCTTTCTGCTGGGTTTTCTCGACACAGCTTCTTGATGAGTGTATGTGCATTTCGTCCAATTTTCCGTGGAAATTCAATCACATCAATGCCCTTTACTATCACATTGTAGGTCTTCATTGGGTCGGAGCCGGAGAAAGGAGGGCTGGAAGAATACGTTTTGCATAAACTTCTTGTACAAACAAATTAGTTAGAATGAAAGAAACATCAGAATGTCAACAAAAAGATTAATCTGTTGATGACTCATTCCTACCACCAATAGTAAAACAAGGTTCAAATAAAGATAGGCTATCTGGTCAGCAATATCTATTCTTAATTTGCTAACACTGAAAGCAATCAGAAACTTAACTGAACTATTATGAAAGTGACTTTCATATAATTAGTGTCAATGACCTTGAGCGAGGTGGGTTGGGCTGTAACATGGTTCAGGTAACTATCATCTTTCTCATCCTTTGTCACGCCTTATCAGCTGAATCCCAGCACCATCACCTCGCAGTGTCTCCTCGCCACTCACCTTCCTGTCAGCAGCTCAAACATCAGGATCCCTAGGGACCAGTAATCCACAGCATGGTCATGGCCCTTGTTCAGGATGATTTCTGGGGCCACATATTCAGGTGTACCGCAGAACGTCCATGTCTTCTTACCTGAGCCAACTTTCTTGGCAAATCCAAAGTCAACCTAGAATACATATGATCTAATTACTATGCATGAAATCATATGAAGTGAATCTGGACACAAACACAATGACAAGGGTCAAAGTGAGAAATTGGTAGTGTGCATGGTGAATATGTATAGTAATGTATTTAATTGACTGTGGGCAAGACAATCAGTTGGTTGTCAGGGGGCTGAGGACAAGTAATGGGACTGAGGACAAGCTAGGGGGCTGAGGACAAGCAATGGGCCTGAGGACAAGGACAAGCTAGGGGGCTGAGGACAAGCAATGGGCCTGAGGACAAGCAATGGGACTGAGGACAAGTAATGGGACTGAGGACAAGTAATGGGACTGAGGACAAGCTAGGGGGCTGAGGACAAGCTAGGGGGCTGAGGACAAGCAATGGGACTGAGGACAAGCATGGAATACTGTGTGTAAGCACTGTGTGTTAGGGGTATTGAGCACCTATTCTGCCTACTTTGTCATGCCTACCAGTTTAACGTAGCCTTTGGAGTCAAGTAGTAAGTTCTCAGGTTTCAGGTCTCGGTAGATGATGCCTTTGTTATGTAGATACTGGAACGCCTCCAAGACACACGCCACACAGAACCTTGTCATGTTGTCATCAAAACTCCCCCTAGTGGCAAAACATAATTCTTCTAATTATGACAGCATCATTTAACGTGTTGGAATGCATTCATGAACAAGGTTTCAACAACACTATCATAATTCCATCATCGCATTTTGCAGGTCCTTTACCACAAGTATTGACAGTAGGTCAGGGATCGCTTGACCAGAGCATCAAAGAGCTGCAGTTGGTAACACCATGGACACATCACGGAAGTAAATCCTGCTTCAGTACAGCTTACACTTCAGTTACAATCAGATACAGCATGGAATGATACACCTGAAACTCTACATGTATAAAGTAGAGACACAACACTGGAGCTCACCTTCATATTCAGTGGAGGACAAAATTGCTTTCATCTCAACTTAAACAAATCAGGGGTGTAATAATTGTCGGGGACAAGCATGTGAAGTTTCAGTTGTTTGGTCGGTGAACTTATTTCTGATGATATCATGTTTACAGTGCAAGGAAATGCATTTTGGGATAATTGAGGACCGCGGTCAATGTCATATTTTACACATGTGAAAAATGTGTTGAGCTCAAATGCTGACTACAGATATATCAACCTGAATTATTTTATGATTTATTTTTTGAAAATTCGAAAATATTTGAGAGGCATCATTTGATGGGAACAAACATGCAGTTTATAAATGACGTACTAAAAGATGATGAATCCTTTCTGTCTTTCACTGAGTTTAAAGAGATGTATAGAGTAGAGACAAATTTCTTAGAATATGCGGGATTAGTATCTTCAATAAAACAATATTCAAAGCAAGAAGCTACACTATTGACAAAGCAAAGACATTTACCCTTTATTCCCCCGAATGTGAAAATACTCTATGAAAATAAGAGAGGCTGCAATATTTTCTACACAACACTACTAAACAAGGCTAAATCTATTCCAAGTTTAGGATATCAATGTAAATGGGAAAACGACCTTCATCACAGTTTTCCACCTGACTTATGGAATACCTATCACTTTATACCATTCAGAGCTGTTCATAACACTAATGAAAGATGGTTTCAATATCGTATTGTCCACAGAATTCTCACAACCAATAAAGACTTATACAACTATAATATATTAGAATCACCACTATGTACATTTTGCAAGGCTGAAAAAGAAACAATTGTTCATTTGATGTTTGAATGCAGATACGTAAATAGGCTGTGGCAAGACCTTTTAAATTGGATTGAAGATAAAACAGACACTACTATACACCTGGATCCGAAAACAATCCTTTTGGGCTTTCATGAAAAATGTAACGATGTTCTGAACTTGATATTTATCATAACAAAGGAATATATATATTCCAGAAAACTAGCAAATATACGTCCAACCCTTGAAAGTCTCAAAGCCAAATTAAACCACAGTTACAATCTCCACAAATATAATGCATACTCTGTATGCAAATATAGCAAGTTCACGACTTTCTGGTCATCATGCCACAACTTATTTACATAACCTACTCGATCTCACTTATGCTTGTTACTTATTGTGCTGTGTATTTGAAATAATGTTGTGTATGAATGATAAAACTGTACCAATGCGTAAAAAAGAAATAAAGTGAAAAAAACAACAAAAAAAAACCATGCAGTTTCAGACTCCAAGTTAAAATGCCTTCAATAAACTTGAAACTTCATATCATATCTCTCCCACAAAGTTTCAGAGCTCTGGCCCTTTTAATTGTGGATGGATTAAAGATGGATACCAATCAGCCATATTGAAATTTCAATTTCGATTGGATGACATGCAATGGCTTTCAGGCAAGGTGAGCTAAAGTTATAAAAATTACTTCTGGTGAGGATGGATGGGAGAACACAACATACTTGAACACAACCCGGGGAAAACAATTAACATTCTTAAGTGTCCGAAAACCCGTAACACAAGATAGTCCCTGCTCACCTGTCTCTGAGGATTGTCCACAGCTCTCCACCCAGACACACCTCCATCAACATGTACACATACTTCTTGTCCTTGTAAGTCTTGAACAATCTGCAACAACAAGTATAGATGGAGACACTGACACTGATCTGCTACTATAAGCCTTGTAACAGTTTTTAGGGCTAGTGAATGTAAAGGTTGACGGGGCCTCTTCCCACAGAGGTTACTTGTCATGTCTTCCTACGAACCTCTGTTCTAATACGGCCATATTTCCCGGTTCTCGTAAAATCCCCTATCTGCCAAATATCGCAACACGAATTATCTCCCTTCTTTCTATCCGATCAGAAAACGTGTTACATCGACTTAGCTCCAACCTGACTAATACAAGCAAATGTGGGGCCACAAATATAAAAAGTGGAGACGCCATCGATCCGCCATTACATGACTGAGTTCTGTCTAGAAGAAACGTTTGCGCATCGTGCAGGTGACGAGGTTCTAGTTTTCCCAAAGCATACGGAAATTACCGAGGCCTTGCGAATGATCACTTTTGAAACAACGTCGCTGATTGCACAACTAAATCTGATTGCAACCAATCACGAATCCTGAACACTCGCACAATGAAAGGGCCGTATTAGAACAGAGGTTCGTAGGAAGATATGACAAGTAACCTCTGTGGGAAGAGAATGACCTGCAGTAGGTGATTTCAGCGCTACAAGTAATGTTAGATACAGAAGCTGTATTAGTCTTGGTGCCAAGATCAATGTTCCCAAGACAGTCCAACGCCTATGACTTGTTAAATCATACAGGAAGCCATATTTTAATTTGAAGTGACAAGAGTGTCTGATTTTGTGTGGTTATTCCATGAGTTACTTGTGACAAACTGATGTGGGTAAGAGTGAGTGAGTGAGTGAGTGAGTGAGTGAGTGAGTGAGTGAGTGAGTGAGTGAGTGAGTGAGTGAGTGAGTGAGTGAGGGCTCGATACAACCAAGAGCACCAACAACACAAAACAAATCATGAAATTCTTCAACATCCCATACAGCAAACAGCCTTAAAAAACTTACCACAGGTATTAAAACCTAATAAACTGAATGTTTAACAAGAAATAGGACACTAACACATTACTCCTTACAGTTCTTACTGCTATTCTCCATTTATAACATCCTTCTTTTTATCATGCCCCTCCTTATTATAAGCAACTTGAAAATTTAAAACATGGTGCAGTGGACAGGGTGGTGGTTTGATTCCCTTGTGCATGGCATAAGACAATAATATATAGTACTGGTCAGTATCACAGTGGACAGGGTGGTGGTTTGATTCCCTTGTGCATGTCATAAGACAATAATATATAGTACTGGTCAGTATCACAGTGGACAGGGTGGTGGTTTGATTCCCTTGTGCATGTCATAAGACAATAATATATAGTACTGTCAGTATCACAGTGGACAGGGTGGTGGTTTGATTCCCTTGTGCATGTCATAAGACAATAATATATAGTACTGTCAGTATCACAGTGGACAGGGTGGTGGTTTGATTCCCTTGTGCATGTCATAAGACAATAATATATAGTACTGTCAGTATCACAGTGGACAGGGTGGTGGTTTGATTCCCTTGTGCATGTCATAAGACAATAATATATAGTACTGTCAGTATCACAGTGGACAGGGTGGTGGTTTGATTCCCTTGTGCATGTCATAAGACAATAATATATAGTACTGTCAGTATCACAGTGGACAGGGTGGTGGTTTGATTCCCTTGTGCATGTCATAAGACAATAATATATAGTACTGGTCAGTATCACAGTGGACAGGGTGGTGGTTTGATTCCCTTGTGCATGTCATAAGACAATAATATATAGTACTGTCAGTATCACAGTGGACAGGGTGGTGGTTTGATTCCCTTGTGCATGTCATAAGACAATAATATATAGTACTGGTCAGTATCACAGTGGACAGGGTGGTGGTTTGATTCCCTTGTGCATGTCATAAGACAATAATATATAGTACTGTCAGTATCACAGTGGACAGGGTGGTGGTTTGATTCCCTTGTGCATGTCATAAGACAATAATATATAGTACTGGTCAGTATCACAGTGGACAGGGTGGTGGTTTGATTCCCTTGTGCATGTCATAAGACAATAATATATAGTACTGTCAGTATCACAGTGGACAGGGTGGTGGTTTGATTCCCTTGTGCATGTCATAAGACAATAATATATAGTACTGTCAGTCAGTATCACAGTGGACAGGGTGGTGGTTTGATTCCCTTGTGCATGTCATAAGACAATAATATATAGTACTGTCAGTATCACAGTGGACAGGGTGGTGGTTTGATTCCCTTGTGCATGTCATAAGCATAGTACTGTCAGTATCACAGTGGACAGGGTGGTGGTTTGATTCCCTTGTGCATGTCATAATAATATATAGTACTGTCAGTATCACAGTGGACAGGGTGGTGGTTTGATTCCCTTGTGCATGTCATAAGACAATAATATATAGTACTGTCAGTATCAGTGGACAGGGTGGTGGTTTGATTCCCTTGTGCATGTCATAAGACAATAATATATAGTACAGTATCATCACAGTGGACAGGGTGGTGGTTTGATTCCTTGTGCATGTCATGGACAGTGGGGTGGTGGTTTGATTCCCTTGTGCATGTCATAAGACAATAATATATAGTACTGTCAGTATCACATCACAGTGGACAGGGTGGTGGTTTGATTCCCTTGTGCATGTCATAAGACAATAATATATAGTACTGTCAGTATCACAGTGGACAGGGTGGTGGTTTGATTCCCTTGTGCATGTCATAAGACAATAATATATAGTACTGTCAGTATCACAGTGGACAGGGTGGTGGTTTGATTCCCTTGTGCATGTCATAAGACAATAATATATAGTACTGGTCAGTATCACAGTGGACAGGGTGGTGGTTTGATTCCCTTGTGCATGTCATAAGACAATAATATATAGTACTGGTCAGTATCACAGTGGACAGGGTGGTGGTTTGATTCCCTTGTGCATGTCATAAGACAATAATATATAGTACTGGTCAGTATCACAGTGGACAGGGTGGTGGTTTGATTCCCTTGTGCATGTCATAAGACAATAATATATAGTACTGGTCAGTATCACAGTGGACAGGGTGGTGGTTTGATTCCCTTGTGCATGTCATAAGACAATAATATATAGTACTGGTCAGTATCACAGTGGACAGGGTGGTGGTTTGATTCCCTTGTGCATGTCATAAGACAATAATATATAGTACTGGTCAGTATCACAGTGGACAGGGTGGTGGTTTGATTCCCTTGTGCATGTCATAAGACAATAATATATAGTACTGATTCCCTTGTGCATGTCATAAGACAATAATATATAGTACTGCCAGTATCACAGTGGACAGGGTGGTGGTTTGATTCCCTTGTGCATGTCATAAGACAATAATATATAGTACTGGTCAGTATCACAGTGGACAGGGTGGTGGTTTGATTCCCTTGTGCATGTCATAAGACAATAATATATAGTACTGTCAGTATCACAGTGGACAGGGTGGTGGTTTGATTCCCTTGTGCATGTCATAAGACAATAATATATAGTACTGGTCAGTATCACAGTGGACAGGGTGGTGGTTTGATTCCCTTGTGCATGTCATAAGACAATAATATATAGTACTGTCAGTATCACAGTGGACAGGGTGGTGGTTTGATTCCCTTGTGCATGGTCAGTAAGACAATAATATATAGTACTGGTCAGTATCACAGTGGACAGGGTGGTGGTTTGATTCCCTTGTGCATGTCATAAGACAATAATATATAGTACTGTCAGTATCACAGTGGACAGGGTGGTGGTTTGATTCCCTTGTGCATGTCATAAGACAATAATATATAGTACTGGTCAGTATCACAGTGGACAGGGTGGTGGTTTGATTCCCTTGTGCATGTCATAAGACAATAATATATAGTACTGTCAGTATCACAGTGGACAGGGTGGTGGTTTGATTCCCTTGTGCATGTCATAAGACAATAATATATAGTACTGGTCAGTATCACAGTGGACAGGGTGGTGGTTTGATTCCCTTGTGCATGTCATAAGACAATAATATATAGTACTGGTCAGTATCACAGTGGACAGGGTGGTGGTTTGATTCCCTTGTGCATGTCATAAGACAATAATATATAGTACTGTCAGTATCACAGTGGACAGGGTGGTGGTTTGATTCCCTTGTGCATGTCATAAGACAATAATATATAGTACTGTCAGTATCACAGTGGACAGGGTGGTGGTTTGATTCCCTTGTGCATGTCATAAGACAATAATATATAGTACTGTCAGTATCACAGTGGACAGGGTGGTGGTTTGATTCCCTTGTGCATGTCATAAGACAATAATATATAGTACTGTCAGTATCACAGTGGACAGGGTGGTGGTTTGATTCCCTTGTGCATGTCATAAGACAATAATATATAGTACTGTCAGTATCACAGTGGACAGGGTGGTGGTTTGATTCCCTTGTGCATGTCATAAGACAATAATATATAGTACTGTCAGTATCACAGTGGACAGGGTGGTGGTTTGATTCCCTTGTGCATGTCATAAGACAATAATATATAGTACTGTCAGTATCACAGTGGACAGGGTGGTGGTTTGATTCCCTTGTGCATGTCATAAGACAATAATATATAGTACTGGTCAGTATCACAGTGGACAGGGTGGTGGTTTGATTCCCTTGTGCATGTCATAAGACAATAATATATAGTACTGGTCAGTATCACAGTGGACAGGGTGGTGGTTTGATTCCCTTGTGCATGTCATAAGACAATAATATATAGTACTGTCAGTATCACAGTGGACAGGGTGGTGGTTTGATTCCCTTGTGCATGTCATAAGACAATAATATATAGTACTGTCAGTATCACAGTGGACAGGGTGGTGGTTTGATTCCCTTGTGCATGTCATAAGACAATAATATATAGTACTGTCAGTATCACAGTGGACAGGGTGGTGGTTTGATTCCTTGTGGTGGTTTGATTCACAGTGGACAGGGTGGTGGTTTGATTCCCTTGTGCATGTCATAAGACAATAATATATAGTACTGGTCAGTATCACAGTGGACAG